TCCACACTTCACTAGCTTTCTCACAATCTTTGATTTGCTCAAACACATTTGAATCAATGGCATTACAGATGGTGTTGAGAGTTATTGTATTACATTGCTTGTTGGCCTTATTGGTGTTGGTGAGATTATCCGGATAAAAAATCACATAGTCACTCTCGGTCACATCCTACACTTGATCATTGATTGAACCAAGATACATCTTCATTTTTCTCTTCCAATAATCATAGCATGTGCTATCAAAGAATGGTGGTTTACCCCCCACATGGTTGAACACAACTTGAGCCATAATCTGACACCGAGGTTGTTAGGCCTTCAATCAAACGGTGACCATGGCTCCGATATCACTTGAAAGGTCCTAATATGGCTAGAGGGGGGTGAATAGCCTATTCAAAACTTCTACAAAGCACTAGAGCAAATTAGTTAGTAACACAAATGGCACAATGTGATTTTGCTCTAGCTCTATAAGGGTTGCAAGCCACCTATCCTAACAATTCTAGTTATTATGATCACTATCACACACAACAAGCTAGATCACTACTCACTAAGCTAGTGTGGTCTCAAAGACTAACTAAAGAGCCATACTAACCAAACTAACAAGCTCTCAAAGACTAACTACACTAAAGAGCTTGACAACTAGTTTGTGGGAATGTAAATGAGTAAGTAGGGTGATTATACCACCACGTAGAGCAGTGAACCAATCATAAGATGAATACCAATTCAATCACCGGGAGAATACCAAAGGGCAAGAGACAACCAATTTTTCTCCCGAGATTCACGTGCTTGTCGGCACGCTAGTCCCCGTTGTGTCGACCAACACTTGGTGGTTCGGCGCCTAATAGGTATCACACACCTAGCCCACCACAAGTGCCACCGCAAGAACCTACCCATAAGTGAGGTAATTTAATGACACGAGGAATTTACTAGAGCTACCTTGTGGCTCTTCGCCGGGAAAGGTGCAAGACCCCTTACAATCACCGGAGTCGACCGTGAACAATCACCAACACGTGCCGAAGCTCCTCTGCTGCTCCAAGCCGTCTAGGTGACGGCAACCACCAAGAGAAATAAGAAATCCGCAGCCACAACGATCCTCAAGTGCCACTAGATGCAATCACTCAAGCAAATGCACTTGGAATCACTCTCAATCTCACTATGATGATTAATCAATGATAGAGATGAGTGGGAGGTGTTTGCTTAGGCTTACAAGGATATCAAGTATGTCAAAGTGCCAAGAGAGTGAGCCCTAAGCCGGTATCTTTCTACTTATAGAGCCCTAAGACTCAAAGAGTCGTTGGGCACTCTCGAGCAGACTGGACACGCCCCAACGTCCGGTCACTTACAGCCGTCCACGTTTCCCCTTTGAACCAGAGCCGCTCGATCTCAACGGTCATCTCCCGATCGCTCGTGCGGTTAAAAGATGACCCGACGCACCATTGATGCGACTTGGCGCATGAACACGTGGTGTCCGGTCATTTCCAGTAAGGGTCTAGAGGTGTTTTTTAATGACCAGACACGTCAGGTTAGAGGTGACCTAACGCGTCTCGGCATCCGATCCTCTCTCTTCTTCTCTTTGCGTGCCCGCCAAAGGTTGACCGGACGCGCCGGTGCACCTAGCATCAGTGTCTAATCGCTTCTGCTTAGTCTCGGCCAGACAGCGCGCCGTGCTTATAAATGACCGGACCTACTCGAGGTGAGTCCGGTCACCCCGCAGCCAGCTTCTAGTCATGGACCTTCTCTTTTTCTTTTTCTAAGTCCACAACCGCTTCACCCTTGCTTCCAACTTGCTAACCACAAAGTGTAGAACTTATATGCACGTGTGTTAGCATTTTTTAAAGCATTTTACAAGGGTCAAGGTTAGCACACTAGGTTCCTAAAAGCATATGCACGAATCATATCACCTAGTGGCACTCGATAAACCATTTAGCCAAAGATTTCTCCTCTTTATAGTACGGCTATCGATCCTAAATACACTCACACCCTCTATGATGTCTTGAGTGCCAAAACAAAAACCTACTTGATACCTTTACCTTGATCTCCATAAGGGTTTGTTTTTATCTTTCTTGTTTTCCAAGTTGAGCACTTGATCATCATCACATGTGGCCATCTATCGGTGCAGAAAGTGACCAACACGTAGATATTTATAGTTTTGTTGTACGTTGTAATCGGAGGCGGCCTAGCACTCAACAACACAGATTTATACTGGTTCAGGTAACGTGCCCTACGTCCAGTTTAAGTCGGCCGGTGACTTTATTCCTGAGCCCAGATGCTCGAAGTTTGCTGTGGGGTTACAAATGGAAGGGAGAAAGATGGGGGGTACAAGAGGTCCGGTTGAACTCTGGTCTGAAGGGTCGAGAGTGATGGGAGCTTCGCTATGTACTAAGTGTTCGAGCATGTACTCTGTATAACTTTAGAGTGTCTAAAGTTATAGAGGGTGAATCAATGTAAGTGAACTGAGGGATCCCCCTATTGGGAGAGAGCGCATCCCCTTTTATAGATGAAAGGGATGGCCTTATAAGTGAGAGGGAGAGAGTACGTATGCTGCTAAGTCTTGTTGCCCACGCCGACGGGTATAAGATGATGGTATGCGCCCACAATACTGTTTAATGTCAGATACACGTGGGAGGTTGCGTCGTCTTCTTCCGATATGGCAGATGTTGGTGCCTGCCATACTGTTGATGCCCTAAAGGTATGTGGGGGTTTTATCGTGCTCGTCCGGTATGGCAGTTGTTTGCGGGCGCCCACAACATTGTAGGGCAAATGTCGACGCCCACAGCACTGTCCTGACATGCCTGGAAGGTTGCAGGGCACTCTTTTGACATGTCCTATCGGTATATCCTATAGGTGCACAAGGTATGGTCCTCGGTCTTGCGTTTGACTTGAGTGCCCTACCTTACTTGCTTCGTGCATTTCCTGGTCCTCATCGAGCGGGCATCCCCGGTCGGTTGGTCTCAGTTGGCTCTGACTGCTCCGGTCGGAGAAGAGCTATAAGTAGGGGTTTGGCGCGTCCCTAGTTGGGGACGCAGTTTGGAGTTGGAAGTGGTGTTTTGACCAGGCCTTCCGGTTAGAGAGGCTATCCAGAGGCGGGATGGAGTCGGAAGTGAGCGTTGTTCCTCCTTTGGGAGGCCTTCTAGTCAGAGAGGCGGGCCGGAGTCAGAAGCGGGCGCCGTTCCTCCTCGGTCAGGCCTTCCGCTTGGAGATTTATATTGTCCTTCTGGCCTGTCGTTTTAGGTGTTTGGGCCGGCCCAGGAGTTGTGCGTTGTTCGCAACGTTGTCTACTGGGCCGAGCCTTTGTTGAAAAGTCGTCCTGTGAGGGACCTCGGGTTTATGAACCCGACACCATCTCATCATTTCATGTGATCAACATCACCATTTGAGTGCCACCATACTACTCACTTGGATTGCACCAACCTAGCTCATATCATCACTCACGACAAGGTTAGTGCTTAGGTTTAATCAATTATCCAAAACCAAACTATGGCTTTCACCCTCCCACCCCGTTCGCCCACAGCGCTCGCCCCTCTCCGCTCCTTCCGCCAGCGGCGCTTGCTCCTCCCCTCCCCGCTCCGTCCGCCAGCGGCGCTCGCTCCTCCCCACCCTATCTGCCACTGCGCTCGACCTGATGACTGGTGCTCCCCGGGGTTGGCCCAGAGTGACTCCACATCGAGGGACCACGCCCGAGTGATGGCCGCGGCGGAGCGCCGGACCGTGCCCGAGCGAGGGATGCGGCGGAGCGAGGGGCGGCGTGGATCGACGACAGTGGCGTGGATCCATCCTCCTCCATTGCTAGGCATGTCTGAGAGAGAGAGGAGAGAGATGGAGGAGAGGAGACGTCTTTTGTCCATCGGGGACCACTTTTAGCTCTCGATAGCTCGGTTTCTTCGACTAGTGAACTGGTGATTAGTTTGCTATGGACTAACCGTTAGTTTGATGCTTTAGCAGGTCCGTCCGGATCCCATCCAGCTAAACTTTAGCGGCTAACTATTAGCCGGAGGGATCAAACAGGCAAAAAAGAGACATGACTAACTCATTTTCTATTTGGTACCAAGCCATCGAAGGTGGGATTAACCACTGACAGACTTGGCCCGTTTGTCAAATTTTTTGTTTTTTTTCTTTCAACTACATCTCCTTATCTCTTCCGGCCCACGTCTTCGCTCCACGAGCGCAAATCCCGCGTCGTCCGCCCGCACCTCCTCCGCTGGTGAGCTTGCCGGTGAGCTCCCTGCGCCCCACCGTCATGCCGCCCGCGCCTCCTCTGCCCCGTGCCTCGTGCGTCCTCCGCCCGCCTGCGCTCCTCTGTGGCTTTGCCCCGTTCCCCGTGCGTCCTCCACCCACGCCTCATCCGCTGGACCTCTCGCCAGTTGCCATAATAAGAGAGAAATCCCTGGCAGAATACGATCACACAGGAAAGCCCACATAGGAAAACGGACCAGTGTCAGCCTACACATATCAGCATAGGTCCCTCAATTATGTGGCTCCGCCCTCCGTACATCAGCAGCCTCAGTTCTCAAGTAGTCTGGGAGATTTAACTTTTTACCATTATAACAAATGACACCTCCTCAAATAGCACTTTAACGGATGCCAATACATTTTCGCCATCCCAGAGTGAAAATAGCTACAAATTTACCACTTTTGCTTACGTGGTACACCAGCTCCTCATGCCAACGTGGATTCGAGTTCGCAGGACGTGTGAAATGTCCCTCCTGCCCTTTTCCTCTCCACCCACGTAGCTGGCATTTTCGCTCCGTGCCCCTGGCGGCCGCGGCAACCCGCGCGCCCAGCATTGGCCACGCTGGTAGCGCCAGGCACCTACAGCACAGCACCTTATGCCCGGCGGCGGTGGTGCTTTGGCCAGGCGGTGGCGCGCTGTTGCCCGTGCCCAGGCCCAGCGACGGTGCGTGCGCTCGCACCGTGCCTCGGCAGCTCACGCCCTAGCGGTGCCCGCGCTCGTAGCCTAGAACACGACAGCTCGTGCCCGGCGGCGGCGGCGCTCCGACCAGGCGGTGATGCCCGCACCCTGGCTCGGCGACAGCGACGACGCCCGCACCTGCTGTCCGAGGCCACCGACGGCAACCACGCAGCCACGACGAGGCCGCCGATGGCAACCACGCACCTGCCTAGAGCGCGCGGGCTCGACGGAGGAGAGCGCAAGGGAAGCGCGGCTGTCTCCAAGGATGCGACCATGGATGATGCGTCGGTGCCACGCGTTCGAGCTCCGTAGGAACATGAGCTGGCTCGCCGTGGCCGCAGAGAGGCATTGGATGAAGTCGTCCGCCGAGGAAGTTGATGATGACGCTCGCGCAGGGGTGGGGCGCGTGAACTTCGACCGCGTGCATAGCCATCGCATCTACATCGTGCGCCTTCAAGCAGTGATGCAGTCGACTATTGATGTCGCAGCGAGCTCCGCCATGCGGACAGCGGCGTGGGCGCGAGCAACTCCCGACGGCATGGCTGCATTGGAGTCGGCGGCGTGGCCGGGTCCAGGGCGGACGAAGACCTATAGGGGCTGGTGCGCGCGTGGGTCGGAAGTCCGCCTCTCCATGCACTCTTCGTCCGCGGCTGCGCTCGTGGCTGTCCGTGACCGCCGTCCCATGCGTTCGGTGGAGCTTGTCGCGGCTGCCGCCTCACGTGCCCCGGTCAAGCTCGCCGCGGCCGCTGTCCCACGGGCCCGGCGAAGCTCGCCGTCGCTGCCATCGCGCGCGCCCGACGAAGCTCGCCGCGGCCGCCGTCTCGCGTGCCTGGTGGAGCTCACCGTGGCCGCCGTCTCACGCACCTGGAGAGCTTCGCCACGGCCAAGCGCTGCTGCCGACACGGCTGGTCGACGCAAGGCCCAAGCCGCATCCTCGCCACCCTCGGCGCGTCGCGTCCGCCTGATCCGAAGCCGCCATAAAGCTCGGGACGCGACATGAGCCTTGTGCCCTTGTCCATCCGCACGCCAGGACGGGAGCAGGAGCAAGGGAACACGCCGGCCCGAGCTAGCCAGGTCCCACAAGCAGGGAGCACGTCGTCCCGAGCTTGCCAGGATGGGAGCAGGAGCAAGGGGGCGACGGGGAGGCCTCCCCGCGGCCGGCCTTTGTCGAGTGGTGCCCTTGCTCTGCTCTCGTTGGGAAGGGAGGAAGAAGGAGCTGACAACATAGAGGTGAGGTGACGGGCAGCAACCACGCAGCCGCCAGAGGAAGAGAGGGAGGAGCATCGCCGAGCTGCGAGAGAGAGGGAGAATGGATGGAGAGAGGCACGCCGTGCAACGAGGGAGAGAGGGAGCCACGTCGTGCGACGAGAAGGAGAGAGCAGGGGCAGGAGGGATATTTCACACGTCCTGTAGACTCGAATCCACACTGGCATGAGGAGCTAGTGTGTCACGTAAGTAAAAATGGTAAATTTGCAGCTGTTTTCACTCTAGGACGATGAAAATGTATTAGCATTCGTTAAAATACTATTTGAGGAGGTGACGTTTGTTTCTTATAAAGGTAAAAAGTTAAATCTGGCGAGCAGTCTCGTCTAGTCGTCTTTACTTATATATAAAAAAAAAGTCTCGTCTCATTTCTTCTCAAAGCCGATTCCTGCCCGGAGAGCGCTTGAGCACCACCGTCCTGGCAGCGGGGAGCACGGTCCGCTCCATCCGCGCGGCCTCAGACGAGCGGGGACGCACGGACGCTGCTACCGGGTAAGTTACCTCGGTTTTCATGCGGGGTTCAGCGGATCTGGAGCTCCGTCCGGCGGCCGGGTGCGGTTCTAGGGTTAGGTGTCTGGAAGGCGCCCGGGTACTGGGATTTGGCAAGTTGCGTAGCACGGCCGGTGCTTCGTTCCTGGCTAAGCGCAGCAGAGGTGGTGCCACGAGCGCTAAGGAGCAAGAAGATGGGGTGGGAAGAGGAAAATACCGAAATAGACATCTATTTGATGTCAGATCCTTGAGAAACAACCAACTGATAGGCAAATGATTAATTTGGCCTTGTTAAGAACACCGGATCATTCTATCGGACTATTATTTTTCTTGCGCATGAAGCTGTTTGTACTTGTTTATCTGCCTTTTGCTTATGAGCATGTCATTTTTTCAGATGGATCTCAAGGATAGCCTCTCCAGATTTAAGCAACAGCAGGAGAGATGCCAGTCATCTTTGGCGAGCATAGCTGCTTCGAGCTCAAAGCCAAAGCACAGGGCCCAACCAGCACATGCTCCCAACGTTCCAGCACGACCATCACAACCTATTAAGTTTTCAAATGATACAGAAAGGCTGCAGCACATCAATTTGATTAGGAAATCTCCTGTTGGAGCACAGATCAAACTTGTCATCGAACTGCTTTACAAGGTATTTTATCGCTATGCTACAGATTTCTTCCATTTCTCTTTTCATATTACTGCAAATTCAAGAGATGATTTCCCCCTTCTGGCCTCACAAAGTGTAATTGATCATGCAAATTCTCATTCTAATTCAGTTTTTATGCCAGGAGCTGGCATAATTCATGATTTCATGTCTAATTAATTATTCCACAATTTTTTGTTTATTGAAACCCTGACTCAGTAGATATTACTTCAGGCTTTTATGCTTTTTCTGTTAACTCGTTATTGATATTGTTGTTTGTTAAAGGGTATAAGATGCAGTGGTCCATCCTGTTTTGATCCTATTTCTAGCATTGCTTGTATACCTTCTTTCACATGTTAGATTGTAAATCTTGCTATGTATAGCCTGTAATCTAGAATGTTTATATGCTGCTTATCTGTATTAAGCCCTTGCAATATATAGTGAAATTTCCGGAATTGATTAAGTTGGTATGTAGTGACAGGTAAGAAATACTGTGGTGGTTATATTTGCATGCATGTTGCATATGAATTGTCGAGTGTTATGACTACACACCTTTACAGACTTGAATGTAATGTTTTGGCTACGTTTGCCCTTACTAGAATTAAGCATTTCAGCCCAATGTTTAAAAGATTAGAATGACCCTGCAATCATTTCTACTATGGCTGACTAATCTTGTACGTAGTGGTAGAAGCTACTGACATCCTCACCAGGGACAGCAAAACAAATATCATCCAAACTCTCATTATGTATTTTGATGCTGCATCTAGTTTGTGAATCCCAATTGTATCTTCTGAATTTGCAGACAAGACAAGCTTTTACTGCAGAGCAGATAAATGAAGCAACTTATGTTGATATCCATGGTAATAAAGCTGTCTTTGACAGCTTGAGAAACAACCCCAAAGTAAGCTATGATGGGAGGCGTTTCTCTTACAAGGTAAATTAATTTGTGCTTATTTTTGTTCATAATTAATTTGAATTGCCCATTTGTTAATACTTTCTACGCGAGTGATCGTCTTTGCTCTCTTTCTAGAACCTTAGCCAATTCTGAATCATTTGATTAGTAGCTACAGAACTGGAAATCACTTGTCATCCCTACATTTTCATGTGGAATGTTTTTACTATCTGTCCTAGTCAACTAAATTCTCCAGTTGACACATGCGGGGGTTCTATTATAGTTATTTGTTTTAAAAGGTGGCCATCCGTCTGCTGCAACTTTGGCATAGTTGGCAGGCTAGGCGTAGGCGATGCAGCCATCAGCTTCTTCTCCTTAACTCTCTCCTTCTGTACCTGGCTCCCTTCATCTTCCCTGCTACTTGCAACTGCGTCCTGCCATAAGTTGAGGCTCTGGGTCTAGCTGCCTAGGACCTAGGTCCTAGTCACCTCCCGTACCGTCTGACTTGCACACTGTAACTTATGAAACGTCTATGACAGCAATCTATAATTGATTAAATATGTTGTATTGGAATTATGTGAGCTATAGTCTAAAGAGTTCTGTAGTTTGTCAGTTGAACTAGTTCTGACTTCTGAGATCTCATGTGTTGATTTGGTGTTCGTATTTGTGCAGTCCAAGCATGACCTTAAGGGAAAAGATCAACTGCTTGTTTTGATTAGGAAGTTCCCAGAAGGTCTTGCTGTTGTGGAAGTCAAGGATGCATATCCAAATGTATTAGAAGATTTGCAGGTGACCCTAACTCTCCTCATCAGATAATTGAGATGTTTCTGAACACAATGTGATGCAGACACTGTTCTTAAAGGTGCCCAACTTTTGAAGCCTTAAAGGTGCCCAACTAGTTAGCAGCAACAATGCTGCTAAAGTAATAACCCTAAGTTAGCACTACATGCTCTATAATCACAAAGGTACCCAGTGTGGCTGAGTTTAGTCAGTGAGCCCATGTATTGCCTTTCCTAGACATCTGTTGTGCTGTCTGTGCTAGTGAGGTGTTTGATGTAGTTTGCCTAATATTTTATTTTGTTGGTGGTCCAATGTCCACCAATGTACTTGACCATCCAAGCTGAATGTTCTACTATTTATATTTAAACATATTTGCATAATTTTGAGTATTTTCTGTGCTCTAGGCTCTGAAGGCTGCAGGTGAGGTTTGGCTGTTATCAAACATGGACTCCCAGGAGGACATTGTATACCCTAATGATCCAAAAGCGAAGATCAAGGTTGATGATGACCTGAAGCAGCTCTTCCGTGAAATAGAGCTACCACGTGACATGGTCGACATAGAGAAGGATCTACAGAAAAACGGTTTCAAGCCCATGACCAATACTGCCAAACGACGAGCAGCTGCCCAGATCAATGGCGTGAAACCCAAGGCTAAGCCCAAAAAGAAGCAGCGTGAGATCACAAAACGGACCAAGCTCACGAATGCCCATCTGCCTGAGCTGTTCCAGAATCTCAACACTTAACCGTGTTACAATCGTTGACGACTCAAGAGGATTCATTTTACTCCTATGTATTCCTATGTTGTGTGTACATGTAATGCTACCCCTGTATGTTGTACGGCTTATGGGCTCTACAAATTTGTATGTCAAGATGCTGGATGATATACTTATGCATTCTGACATAATAGAATGCAAAACCTCAAGATTTTCCTTATTTTTAATATTTTATCTCAATTACAACATCTTCTGAGTTTGCGGCACTATGTTTTGGTTGATTTTGGATCAATCAGGTTGGTGTGAGGGCAAGCTGAACATATTTTGATGGATTGCTTAGCTTTGAATGCTACAAGAATCCTCATAATTATGAGTACTGAGAAGTGTGCAGGTTTAGATGTGTTTTTTTTCCCTTCCTGACGTACTGCTCACTTCATCTTCTGAATTTGGAATAGCAGGTTTGGTGAATTTTGGACCCATCAGGGATGCCTGAGCTTTGGTACTGTGGTACACACATGGAGGTGGATTACACAAGGCTCCGTTCGCTGGTCTGAACTTTGGCTGAAAAACACTGTTCTGGCTGTATTGTTGTGAGAGAAAAAAAAACAAACCGAATGAGCCGAACTCTAAGACAAGCGAACAAGGCAAGCCAAGGAGGCGAAGACTAACATACGCATTAATTACGGTTTTGTTTCACATGTACTTAAATCTAACTGGTTCACCAAACTGATGCCTCCAGGCTCCAGCCTCTAGGAAGGACGAGACGATACCCCGTTGTGGTCGCCGTCCGCTGTGTTTGATTAGATTTATAAAAAATATTAACAATATTTATATTTCTAAATAAATTTATTATAGAAATAGATTCAATAATTATTTAATGATACTAATTATGTACTAAAAATATTAATATTTTCTTATATATGTTTAGTTAAAGTTTGAATATGTTTAACTCTTTGATGAGAAGTGAGAACGACAACTAAAAATGGATGTAGAGAGTGTGGCCCTGTTCGTTTCTTCTGTAATCTATTTTTTCAGCTTGTTTTTTTAGTTGGAACAGTGTTTTCTCTCACAATATATCAGCTGGAACAGTGTTTTGACTTTTTTTTTCAGCGAAACGAACGGGGCCTATACATCTCACACTTCAAGTCAATCCAATCTTAAATTTCACTAGATTTAGAGCAACTCTAGCAAAACCTTGGCCCCCCCAAACTCAGATTTTAGAGCCAAAGAAATCTAGTTCCAGCGCTCGCATCCTGGGATTGGCTCCGTTTTTTTTCCCCTCCCCAGCTAAACTTTCCCGCGCGCCCGCCCGCGCTCGGCAAAATTCCTCGCGCGCCGCCGCCTAGTCCCGTGCGCGCCCAGAGTTTTCCCGCGCCCTTCCTCCCGCGTGCCTCCGCCGCCCTCCCCGCGCGTCGTCCGTCTCCGTGTGCTCCAGGTCCTCAGCTCCCCCGCGTGATCCAGGTCCGATCCCCCGCGTGAGGTCCTCATCTGCAGGTACCAGCTGCTCCGATCTCTTCTCTGCAAATTCATGTGTAAATGTTGTGCGTGTATCTCTTTGCCTGGTGCTGATTCGTGCTCCCAGGCCTCATCCCTGTTGCGCAGAAGTACAGGCTTGGAAAGCAGAGCAAGAGAGATACAGGGATCCCTGTTGCGCAAAAGTTCAGGTCCGATCCTCCACGTGCGGTCCTCATCTTCAGCTATCAGCTTCTTCCTGTAGTTTGTCTTTTTTGCTGGTTTTGATGGAGATCATAGTAGATGTATATGGAACCCTTGATGCCAAAATGAAATCCAATAAACTATTTGGTGCTATCATTTGGGAATGCAATATTGATTGAAATTTATTTTTTTATTTATAAGATATTATTGCATTTGCATTGCTGACACATTTGTAGCGACATGGAATGAAATATATGTACTTGAGATATTAGAAGTCAGTGAGATTGGATCTGAATAGTTCATGTATGTGCTTTTTTTTTTTTTCTTGATTCTGGTTTCCACAGCTTGAGATATGTCGAAAGAAAGTCAGGGGTCAAGGATGATGTCCGAGAACATTGAGATTGATGATATTGACATTTCATCAATTTGTGCTCAACCAATTGGTAGTGAACCTAGTGCATCCAAAATGAAGGCAAGCCGTGCTACCAACTACTCTCCGCAAGAGGATATCCAGCTATGTGAGTCATGGGGGAATATTAGCATGGATCCTATCACTGGAAATGAGCAACCTGGTAAAGCTTATTGGAAGCGAATTCATGATAACTACCATGCCAACAAGAAATTTGAATCTACTAGGACTGTCAACTCTCTTGAGCATCGGTGGGGCATAATTTACAAGGAGGTGCAGAAGTTTCAGGGTTATTTTGAGGAAGTTGAGCGTCGCCATCCTAGTGGTGTGTTTTTCCAGGAACATGTAAGAAATCCTTTCGTATTGAAGGTTAGGCATGGATCAATTCATTAATATACCAAACATGCTGACTCACACATGTCTTTGCTTTCAGGTGCTAGAAGCACAAACTATATATGCAGACAAGGAGCCAAACAAGAAGGGTTTCACTTTCAATCATTGTTGGTTGAAGGTTAGGAATTGCGCCAAGTTCACAGCTGTTCCGTCCTCCAAAAGGCCTAGAACAAACAACTCAAACCCATTTGATGTTCTTGATCAAGAAGATAATGATAGTGGCAATAGCCAAACTCCTGATTCATCCTTGTGTAGTGCGAAAAGGCCTATGGGGAGGAAGCAAGCAAAGGGGAAGGTGAAAAAGGGTGGGGAAGAATATAAGTATGCAGGGATGCTTGAGAAATTGCTTATTGAAAAGGAAAAAATTAGAGAAGCTAGATGGCAGGAGAAGAAGAAGATGCAAGAGCGCAAGGCATCGATTGAGGAGCGCAAGGTTGCTATTAAGGAAAGGAAGCTGATGTGGGAGCAAGAACATAAGATTGTTTTTTCTGATGTCAGCACATTGGACTCCAATGTAAAGGCATATGCGTTAGCAATGAGGGCTATATATGTGTTCTTTTTAAAAAATATTATGTTGGTCATGGATCTTATTATTTCCTTTACTGCAGATGGTGTTTACCGATGATGATGATGATTTTTTTGAGCAATGGTGGGAGGAAGAGGAATCAGATGATGATGATTTGGTTGTGGCTATGCTCATTCTTGCTGATGCTGAAGAAAGGGAACGCAAGAAGGCTCGGCGTGGTTCGATGCCTAGTCGTCAAGTGGTACCGTGAGACATGGATGGTGGGAACCTGCGCATCGTAGACTTTATTTTACATACTATGATGGACTAAGCAATTTATTTGATGTTATGTCATGAACTTTGTGCTTCCAATTTAAATTTAGAACAAGTTTAAATATTTGTATTTGAATTTGTAGATTTAATATTGTTGCTCATTGTGAAATCATAAATATTTTATTGTCTATTGTGCTTTTGTCCAATACATATGCATAGACAGTGAAGAAAATAGTAGAAATTGAGAAATAGGAGCTTAGTTTTGAGAGCTGTTGTTGGAGTGCAATCCAGACAACAGGGCTCAAAAGTAGGGACCTTGATTTGAGATCTTTTGCTGGAGTTGTTCTTAATATTAACATTTGTAAATATGTTTACTATAAAAATATATGGCATGATTAATCTCATGATATTTATTTGGTATCATAAAAATAGTATTTTTTATATATTTAGTTAAACTTAAGATCAATTGGCTTTTCAAAGTATGCACTTATTTTTGGACGGAGGGAGCATTGTATAATGACGCCTCTGAAGTCCGAAAGAGGGAACGACGCCTACCGAAGGCTGCAGCGTCGTCATCGAGTTTGATGACTGCCTTTGCTTTGCACCACTGTGCATGTGACCCGCCAGCCTGCTCGGATGCCTCCTTTACAGTTTTGCTATGTACTCCCACCATTTCAAATTATAAAAGTGTTTTGACTATTCTAGATATATAGTAAAAGCAATATATCTAGAAAAGTCAACACGTCTTATAATTTGAAACAGAGGAGTACGTAGCTATGTAGCACGTATGGTGCCTTTTGTGGTTATTAAGCTGTTCGTAAGACTTTTTTCACAACCACAACTCAACCAAACATGGCCTTTGGCGAACTGAAAGCTTCCATGTGTCATCATTTGTTGTGTGTCGGCACAACAGCTATTGTACATGCAGTGTTGGTGTTCGATGGAAGTTGGATATTTAGAGGTCGACATTATGAAACAAGCAAAGATGATTAGTCGAGCTGCGATTTGTTTTTTCCTCTCTTGCTTCTTCTTCTTCTTTTAAGTTTCCCTTGCATGCATCAGTGATATGGAGTGTTCCTATCTAGGATATGTGCTTCAACCTGTGTGAGTGGTGTTTGCAGTCCTACACTCCAAGTCTCGTAGTCGTAGTGGCCGCCGTTCGATTAGCGAGTGTAGTAGTCGAGTGCGTTGTTTGATTGCCCGGAAGTGGCGTAGGTGCGACTCGCGAGTGAGTGGCCAACATGTCAAGGTCGTAGCACTGACACATCACCTGGAGAATCCAACGACGAATAATGATGAGCTAGCTTAGGTTGGATAAGATTTTATTTTTCGTTAGCAGCACAAGCCACCAGTACAATGACTTCGCACAACCGCAATTCGTGGCTTGCGATTTCTGGTGACCTCGCCCACGATTGGCCGCAACTTTCAAACCATATTTCCCTATCCTTTCGTCCAAAACAACTCGGGAAACTTCTGGCACAAAGTTCTCTCCTATCTCGAGTGATTGTGTCATTTGTGTGTGTGTCATCCAAGAACAAACGTCTCACAAAGACTTTAACTTCTCTGCATCCTCTGAACTTCTCGTATGCATAGCTATCATGATGTACACCTTGACCATGGTACATGGCTAACAGGCCGAGTAATAGTATAGCCAGTCCACGGATTGTCATCTAGAGCCATTACTCACTCATACAATGATAGAATGGATTGTCATTCCTTGCGCTCGTCTTATTTTCTCTTCCCTCAGCGTAGTCACAAGCGTCATGCATAGGTTTCTATAAACCCTATATTATACATCTAAAATAAAAAATGCATCATCAAACGTCATTATTTTTCAGAAAGCATCAAGCCGAGCGTCAAGGATCAGTCCACACTCCACCACCATCAACCACAGAGTCAAACAAACAAAATATAATGGACACATCTTGTAAGTTATCACTGGACACAAAGACGTATACATGATTTGGCTATAATATAAATACGCCTCGGTTTTTCCTTAGAAACAAAATCAAATGTGCAGAGGCTCTAAATGCTGCTGCATCTAACATCAGAACAGTGTTAAAAGTTTTTTAAAAACCCGGTAAAATGAATGCGGATGAAAAACAAAATTCAAGCCTTTCCATGTCAGCCATCAATGTCCTGGACCCATTGCAAACCTGCAGATTGAGCCTATGCGTGCCAGAATAAAAATGAGGAACGGAGGTTGAGCATTAGCAGTTAGCACATATTGTAGATACAGGGCAGCGTCATACAATTAAACCTCCCAACTCCCAAGTAGCTACAATAGTCAACAAAATCAATTTTCTTAAGAAGCTACAAATCGTCCCTGTTGGGTTCTGACCACAACTAATACTCATGAGATTATGAACGGATTGCTGGGACATCAGAAACAAACCTGTTAGTACTGACTCCACTGCTGAATTTGGAATCAGCAGTCCAACGATTCGCTGACTGTCATTTGTTGTGACTAAACGGACAACACGTATTCTCCTGTGAACCTGGCGTACCTGTTCAGTTACAGAAGGCAAAGGGCCATTAAGCAACATTCAGAAAGAGGGGTAGGTCAATCACTCGATTTGTAACTTTGTAATATTGTGATATGTAGGTCTCCTAGAATTACCCTATGTTTGGTTTAAAAAAAGGAATACCCTATGCTAATTATCTCATGCAGTATTATTGAGGGGAAAGGCTAACTGAACGCACCATATTAAAAAAATCCTCAATTATCAAATCCTGAACGCATAATAGACTCGAAGCATAGTTCAGACAGACATACAGTAATACACCAACATGTTATATTGTTACACATATTAAGTACCATGCTTCAAATGTTTCAAACTTACAAGGCAACGGATCAGCTAATAAATAGAGGAACTCAATAACATAATCGAATAGGATTACCAATTCAATGCTCCTCTTTAGCTCCTCTTGCGGTCCCTGTTCTTCTCCCCAGATCGCTTTGCTCCCCGATGGTCATGTCGCTCATCCTCATCGGACCCACTGCTTTCTGACCGGCGGCGCCTCCTCCACCTGCTGGATTGATTCTTGTCGTCTGCAAAATCACTGCCACCATTGTCACAGTCAGATGCATCCCTCCAGTGTTGGCTCCGCTTGCAGTGACGGCGATGCCTCCTTTCTTCACCTCCAGACACATCCTTCTCATCCAACGAGTCCTCGCCCCTTTGGTGGCTCCTCCTCCTCTTCCCGTCCTTCCTGCTCTTCCTGTGCCTCTGCCTATCGGAGTCACTATTGTCCCTGCTATCCTCATCTGATCTTCCATGCTTCTTCGATCTGTTGGACCTCTTCTTCCTGTCCCTGCCTCTTCTGCCTTCCTCCTCTTCATCCTCACTATCATCACTCCTACTCCTTGTGTGCTTTGATTTTCTATTGCTGCTGCTGCTCCTATGGCGGTGGCTTGACGACTTCTCTTCCTGCCTGGGCCTCCTCCCCCCATTCCTGGCGCGCTCGCGCTGAGCAATTATCTTCTCCAGCTCAGGGTCGATGTCTGAATCAGAGGAATCACTGTCCTCGTCCTCCTCTTCCACATCATCAGAAGCCTCATCTGCGTCCCCACCGGCAACAGCCTTCTTTTTTTATCTCGTCGAACTTGGCCTGCGCGGCCGCCTGTGCGGCGGCCTGGGCGTCGGCGTCGTCCAGGTCCAGGTCCTTGACGGAGAGGAAGTTGCGGCACTGGAAGGTGAGGTGGCCAACGCGGCCGCACTTCTTGCAGGCGCCGCGTGTCTCATCGGAGTTGGAGCCGGTGATGCGGGCGAGCGCGAGGAGGCCCTGGAAGCTGGTGTAGGCGTTGCCATCGCCCGAGTCGGATCCGGAAGCTGCTGCGGCGCTGGCGGCTGCGGCGGCGGCGTTGGCGGAGACGGAGGAGGAGGGGCGGCCCGGCTGTTGCTTGTTGTTCTCGGGCGCGTAGGGGTCGTATCCGATGGCGCTCTGCCAGATGCCGTGCGTCTGCAATGCCGCGCTGCTGTCCACGCGGTTGTTCGCGGGCATGCGAACGCGCCCCGCCGTCGCCGGCATCTTGGATCGCCGCCGGTTACGCTCGGGGTCGGGGGAGGGAAAGGGAGGATACGGATTGGGATCTGGGATTGATTTCGGCTCGATTGGGGAACGCGTCGAACGGGGAAAAGGGGGAGGAGCTTGTTTGGCTCCCGCCACAGCTGTGGCCGCGCCGTGAGTGTGGCGCACGAATCGTCCGCTAGACAGTTGGCGCAGCTGCGGCAGCCGCCAAACCTTAGCGATGTGCCGTGTGAGTGTTTGGCACTTGCGGCGTGCTGCACTTACGGCGCGGCGACCTGCGGCGCGCGTTGGACATGCTCAACGTGTTCTATCTTCACTGTTGAATACTGTTTTGAGATTCGTGCTGTTCACTCTTTCCAATTCTTCACACTACTTTTTTCAAGGCTTCACACTACTGATTGTGATGGTACACATCTCGATATGGTGTTTGGATGGTAGGAATAACATATGCTCAACATGTATGCAAAAAAAAAAAATGCTTTCGCAAACAAGAAAGAGCCTCCGCTCTCTGAAGTTGGCACGTGTGGACTGTGGAAAGAGGCAGGCCAGCAGCCCAAGATCGGCCCCGTTCGCTGGTCTGAAACTTGGCTGAAACTGGCTGAAAAACACTGTTCCGGATGAATTGTTGTGAGAGAAAAACACTGTTCCGGCTAAAAAAAGAAGCCGAATAAGCCGAATTTGAGGTAAGCCGAACAGGGCCATTGTGGAAAGAGGCGCCAATAATTTCAGATGCACCTAGGATATACCCTGCTTCCCCTATGAAGTCTCGTCTCATTTCTTCTCAAGCCGATTCCCCATCCCCGCCTTGCCTGCCTGCCGGAGCGCGCACGAGCATCCTATTTGGGAAGCGCGTCGCCGTCGGCTCTATTCAAAATTATAAGACATTTATAGTTTTTTTAATGTATTTAGATATACAATTTGTTTAGATATATAATAAAAAATAATGTATCTAGAAAGTTAAATAATTTAAAATATGAGGAGGTACGTAGCTACGTAACATATATGATGTCTTTTATGGTTATTAAGCTGCTCGTAAGACACTGTGAATATGAGAAGCTTTTATGTGTCATCATTTGTTTTGCGTCGGCATATCAGCTATTGTATCAATATGGAAGTTAGATCTTTAGAGGTCGACATTATGAAACAAGCAAAGATGATTAGTCGAGCTACGATTTGTTTTTCCTCCGCCGCTGCTTCTTTTTAGTTTCCCTTGTATACATCGTTGATATGATGATTGAGTATTCCTAGAAGGATCTGTGCTTCAACTTGTGTGAGTGTCGTTTGTAGTCCTAGTCTCGTAGTCGCAGTGGCTGACGTCTGGACGGACCGGACAACCGTGGTGTTTCGCGCGTTCACGTGGGGATTTCGCGCGCCCATGCACGCTCGCGCCGCCTTGAATGTCACCAGCATCGAGAAGAGGAGGACGGGGCGGCGGATGCCTAGCTGATGCCGGGAGGAGGAGGAGACATCGAAGCGATGCAGCAAAAAAGCGAGGAGGGAGGTGCAATACCCTATCTACTTTTGAACGATCCCGATAGAACATTTGCAACATGCGCCTGAATACAGATAAAACACTTAAAACATGCGTCTGAAACACTTGCAAAAAACACATGAAAAAATCATTACAAAACATATGCAACATCTAGATAAAACACTTGCAACGTATGTGTAAAATATATGCAACATTCAAATAAACACACTTGCAACATACATCTGTAAAAACAAATAAAACATTGAGAACAGAAGCTTACAACATACATGTACAACCATTGCAACATATGCAACATTCCGATCTACTTTTACAACATATGCATGAAACACTTGAAATATACCTCTGAGACACTTGAAACATAGGCTTGCAACATGTGTTTTTTTCACCTTTCTTCCCTACGACGCAACACAGAGCAGGGGATGAGCAGGCGGAGGGCAGCACCGTTGCGGCCCCTTCTAGAGACGAGCGGAGGGGGTGGAGACAAGCCACCGGCAAGCTTTGGCCACGCTACGGGCTGTCACTGTCGTAGGCGGGCAGAGAGGGAGGCAGGGACAGGCCAGTAACGTGCGTAGGTCGCCAGCGGGCTCTAGCCAGGAGGAAGGGGCCGACCGCAAGCACAGATGCTGGCGAGCTCTAGCCGAACGGGGACGAGAAGAAGGGGCTGACGACTGGTGTTGGCCAATGGAGGTGCCACGGGGTATGGTGCGGGATGGAGGTGTTGTAGGGAGTGGGACGAGCAGACAGGCACATGTGGAGAGTTTTTTTTAGAGCACATGCAGACAGAAGTCATAGACGGACACCCATGCCGTATCATTACCTTCAACTATACCGAGTAGCAGTAGGCGACTGTGTTGTTTGATTGCCCTGAAGTGGCGCAGGCGCGAGTGTCGGCCTGTTCGCTGGTTGGTTTCTGGACTGGTTTGGACTGACTGGTGCTGGTTTGTTGTGAGAGAAAACACTGTTGGCTGGCTGGTTAAAACCAACAAGCGTACAGGGTGTGTGTGGCCAACATGTCAAGGTCGTCGGACTGACACATCACCTGGAGAACCAACATCGGATAATGATGGGCTAGCTTAGGTTTGATAAGAATTTACTTTTTGTTAGCAGCAACCGCAATTCGTGGCTTGCGATTTCTGGTGATTTCTCCCCACGACTGGCAGCAATTTTCAAACCATTTCCCTGTCCTTTCGTCAAGAACAACTCAGAAGCTTCTGGCACAAAGTTCTATCTCAAGTGATTTGTGTATTTATGTGTCATCCGAGAACCAACGTCACTTTCGTGTACCCTTTATTATACATCTACAATAAATCAAACGTCATTATTTTTCAGGAAGCTTCAAGCCGAACGTCAAAAATCAGTAACACTCCAACATCATCATCAACAGAGTCAACAGACGCATCTTGTCAGTTGTCACTGGACATAAAGTTTTGCACGACATGATTTGATCATAATATAAATGCGCCCTAGTTTTTCTTGTGCTGTTCAGTTCAGCATCAGCAGTAACTCCACTGGAAACACTATGGCAGCACCAGATTGTGAGGTGCTACTTTCTTTGAGGTTAACCTGACCTTTTTTAGTAGCTTTACATGCTATACAACATATAAACCAGGTAGAGAACAAAAGAGGAAAAGAAAGAGGAGACAGCGGTACCGCACCGCATATTTTACATACAAAAGTTGTCTGCCTGACCTGTAAGCTAAGAATTTCATCGCTTCGCGTAAGTTACCTTGCTATCTACCTAGAAACACAATCAAATATGCAGAGGCCCTAAATGCTGCTGCATCAAACATCAGAACAGTGTCAAAAGGTTGGAAAAAACCCCAGTAAAATGAATGCATATGAAAAACAAAATTCAAGCCTTTCCATGTCAGTCATCAAGATCCTGGACCCATTGCAAGCCTGCAGAAGATAGCATTTGAATTGAGCTTATGCATGCCAAAATAAAAATGACGAACGGAGCTTGAGCATTAGCAGTTAGCACATGTTGTAGATACAGGGAGTGTCATACAATTAAACCTCCCAACTCCCAAGCAGCTACAATAGCAAACAAAATCAATTTTCTTAAGAAGGCTACAAATCGTCCCTGTTGGGTTCTGACCACAACTAATACTCACGAGATTGAGAGGATTGCTGGGACATCAGAAACAAACCTGTTAGTACTGACTCCACTGCTGAATTTGGAATCAGCAGTCCAACGATTCGCTGACTGTCATTTGTTGTGACTAAACGGACAACACGTATTCTCCTGTGAATCAGGCGTACCTGTTCAGTTACAGAAGGCAAAGGGCCATTAAGCAACATTCAGAAAGCGGGGTGCGTAAATCACTCAATCTGTAACTTTGCAATATTGTGATATGTAGGTTTCCTAGAATTACCCTATGTTTGGTTAAAAAAAAGGCTTATTCAAGATCGATCTACCTTCATCAGAGGCAGCAATAAAGTTCATCCAGAAACAGGAAAAAAAATCTTAGGGTAAGATGTCTGAAGTTACAAATAACACAGTTCATGTGAGCACTATATGCATACTACTTTTGTAAACATATAGTACTAAAATTTAAATACCAATGCATAGATAAAATATCAGCTTAAACAAACACCAAAGGCTGTCAAATCAGAATCTATAATACACTACTTCCATTTTTAAATATATGGTGTTAGGACACTAATTAGCTTGCCCTAAACATCATATATTTAAAAATGGAGGGAGTATGCTCAAAAAAAAAGGAGGGAGTAATAAAATCTAGATTCAGAATGCGTCACTAGGGGCACCCATGTTGGTAATTCGTCTCCTGTCAGTCCCCATTCCACCCCAATCCTACATGGAGATTATGCCACACCCATGGGTGAATTGTCATGCCTAGCTGCCACCATGGCTTCAAAACTGCAATTGCCCGTTTTCCTGATTATCCCACAACTTTCAGCTTTTGTTATTTGAAGACCATTATTCTTCAAGACGAATCCTTAAGACTACTACGTCCTTACCCTAAGGAGTAATGAAGTGGTTTGCATATCTATTTGGAACTAGTAGAACATAGAGGGGCTGATACAAAAATATAGGTAAGATGGCATGTCTTGGAATTAGATCAAGCAGCTGAATATAGATGAATCACAACATTTAACTCTGAATATAGTGCAACTTGCAAGTAAATAGGCATAGAAATAAACCTGCTTGACCAGGGCCTTTTCTATTGTACCCCAAACTGGAAGTATGAGGCCACCCAATATATTAACCTCTTGCAACCTTCTTCCTACAGTACAGTAGCTCCCAATTTTACATTTAGATCCATGCATACACTGAAATGAGGTAAAGAAGCACTGGATCAGTGATGCACAAACTAGAAAAAAGAAAGCAACACAATAAACTCATCATCTATTTAGTCAAACTTAAATGAAATTAAGGGTGTAAATAGAATATGGAAAATAAAGTTAGTCACAAACTCAATACAAGGACTAAAATAGAATGAGTGCACAAACATATAGCTATTCACCATAAACAGCACCAACAGAGGTTTGCATATGGAGACAGACATTATGCAGCTTGAAAATCCCTTGGAGACCAGACAACAAGATGTTGCTTGCATAAGAAATTAAGTCGCAAAAATATGCCAAACACTCCAGTGCTGTGACAGCATACTTAATTTTTCCATTTTCCTAAACATCAATGCTGAAAATAACTTATATTTCTAAGTGCAGCACTAATAACACGAGGAAAAGACTCTTACCAACTTACATGTCTCCAAAGTATGTAAGCTACACAAATTACACACTGGGTAAAGAACCCTCAGTACAATAATTTACAGAATAACAATACATCATGTTCTGCTAAAAAAAACCAATACATCATGTTACGTTCATAGACCAAGGAAACAGAATTTGTGGTGTTACCTGCTTCGATGAAGCATCGTACTCTTCCTGCCATCCTTTACTAACTTTGTCTATTGATGACACCTTCCTGTACTTGCTTTTTAGTTCAGTTGAAGGCATCTCCCTGCAAAAGTAAACTGGAGTAGTAACAAAAAGTAGGAACTGCCATCCTTTACATTAGATATGAAACCTGCTAGGCTCTTAGCTATTAATTAATCATGTAGCTTTATTATTCACTGTAAAATGTTAACACTAAACTTTGCCAAAAAAAAAAAATTGGTATGATTTATACCTCAATGCTTCACCAATAGCAGGTCTGATTATTCTGTAGATTCCTTCAGTTGAGCTGGTTCAATAAGAATTAAGAACAACTCAGGTCCTAACATCTGATCAAATAAATAACAGTACATTACAGTAAACCTCATATTTTTTATTCATGTATATCGCTGTTTCATACTTGCAAGTTTCTGTCACTCATTCCATCCCTCGTTGTTTGCAAACAGAAAATTTTAACTTTTATTCTTGTCTCCCCTCTTTTATAAAGATGCATCATAGTCCTCAAGAAAACAATAAGGCTTCTTTTTGTTTTCCTTTTCATTGACTTATCTTCCATTTTGACTTCAATTTATGTGTGTGCTAAATTGCACACTTGGGTAAATGCAAAATTCTAAAATACAGCTAGAGTATAGATATAGTTCTACAAAAAAGGGTAACCTAAACTCGAAATTCTTGTTTCCAGGTCCTTACTAATCTCTCTTGCTCTCTTCATATATGTATGTGGACCACATGAAATAACTAACAAATGAAAAATTAGTCATCATTCAAAACATACCCTTCGAAAGCTAGAATGAAGTGCCTTCTCCCCATCCATTCCCTTCTGGACTCATAAAACCCATCATTGGAGGTACCAGCACCATCTTTCTCCCTTTCCTCAAGCTTCGCTTTTGCCAACTTTACACACATGTTCAAAAAGGGAATTATGCAGGTAAACAACAGTTTTGCAACAACATGGATTGCACTTACATAAAACTACAATGATGTCAAAGTTCTCAAGGAAAAACAAACAATGGCGCTCCTGAACTGTCTGCTTACCTCCCAAGTAATTCCCCGGTCGATGGTGAAAGTAAATAGTACCGTCGAAGCACCAGACAAGCTATCAGTGTGAACAGTCTGCATGGACAACATTCATTGATGGTTAACGAAATAGAGCTGCCAAAGCAAATGTCATCACAATAAAACTTTACCTTAGGTGATTCTTTCATTTCAACATTCTTAGCTCTGATATCAACAATTCCAGAATCTAGCTGCCCTTCTATCCTTGCATTGTGAAGGACAACATCAAATATACTTGTAAAGAGATCAAACAACCTGTTACATAGAATGTATTAGAATGGTCCAACCAACTCTTTGAAGATATGTGGATCATGCAAACTCACCTATTCTGGATGTTCGGAGGCAACCCCAAAAGGCGGTTGAGAAAACGAGCAACATCATGCATATCTGAATCTACAATCCGACCAGAAAGCTTCCCAGGATCTTTTCCATTGCCTGAGGAAAATCATTTAGTGAACCATAATTTTTATAACTTAACTACATGTAGAATAACACATAGCCCTGGATGGCTAGGGGGCAGTTCCACTTTGCAAGCATCAGGTGTTGAGGGCGGGTGGGCGGCCTCCTTGACAGGAGGCTCAACCAACTGGGTAATTGCTCAATTCTCACACAGACAATTTGTAAATCATAGTTCTCATGTGCTGTTCAATCAATTATCAATATGCTTAATGAATTGTAGCATTTCAAGGGCTATTCTGGTAAATAAATGTTTCAAGGGCTGCTAACAAGTCCATCAGTACAGGAGATACATAAATAAATAAATACCGATGAAAAATTAATAAATAACACATATCATAGGAAAAGCCTTTATCTTCAATTCAATAATACCAAAAGAAGTATACAAACAGATAGAAGATATCAAGCATTCTTATTTGTCATTATGTGAAAAATGTGAAATATAAGCAGTTAAGCAACTTCAAATGAAGCAATAAAGCCATAACAAAAGGTTAGTAGTATGTTAGCAAATTAGCAAAACAAGCATAAACTTAAGTTAAAATGATTTTTAATTAACTTACATATGAAAGCGTCCCTAATAATTCCAACTGATACTAGAGCAGCTTTTGCTTCATTGATGAAATCTTGGATGCTAGTTTCATCATCAGAACACCCCGGAGGAACAACTGGAAAAGAATCCTGATCACCTTGAAACCAACTCTTAGAATGTTGTAGGCACAAAAAAGGAAATACCATAAAATTAATTGTACTAGTATGAACCTGTTCCATTATTCTCCTATATGTCATGGTTAACGCCTTTTTCCCATAATTGCTATCATAGTTAAAAGCACTCAAAGAAGGCCCAGCCCTGCAAAAGTAGAAATCTTGCCTCTGAAATGTTCTGGCTAAATTTTTTCTCCCAATTTAATTGAAATCAATAAAAACCTGCGATCTCCTTGTGTTAAAGCACCAAGGGACTCTAGCCTTTTTGCCACAATTGACGCAAACCGCTTTTCACCACCGAGATTTGTAAAAAGAAGCCTACAGTGGAGTTCCAATTTTTTCAGATATATAGACAATTTTATCTGGTTCATGCATCATATGAAACAGTTTGCAATGTGAAAATAGTATAAATCAAACATGTGAGAACTAAGAGAGCCATGATCCCTTTTTTTTTAAAAAAAAAAACAGTGTTTTCCCCACACTAGAAAACAGTTCACTTGATTATCTCAACATTTGACTGATGCACAGCTACTCTGAGAACATCACATTTGTGGAAAAAATTTCTTTCCAAATAGACAACTAAATAAGACCGCGCATAAATTTGCTGGTTATAAAACAAAAAAATATTGATAAAACAATCTCATATGCATTCCAACATGTAGGCTACGTAAAACAGAGACCGTCATTCAAATTACTGCATATAATGCTTTGAAAAGTCATTAACTATTCCAGGTTAGCCAGCAGCCATCAGTAGTTACCAGCACAAAAAAGGAGTCCTGCACCTACAATCGATTGTTGACAATTCAATATTTGTTCTAACTTCTAGCTATCATTGCAGGTGCTTTATTCAATTCCTCCAAAAAAAAAACTCCTCCGATCTGGCTCTACACCCTTTCAGTCTTCATTTGCAAGGAAATAATACCACAAAACCCTCATCCGAGTGAAGTGCAGCAGCCAACAGTGTGCAATCAAAATTCAAATGTACAAGAAAGAGTGCATGTAAATAAATATCGGACCTATATTGAGGGGCAGAAGTTTGATTAGAACGATGGGTCCTCCCAAACTGCTGTATTGCACGATCTGCACTCCAAGGGAGTTCAAGTGTTATGTGTACTCTTCTTCTCTGCAAAATTAACGCAAGCAACCACAGAAGCAATCTTCTTCATAAGAAAAGTTATGGAGCAGTTTAGAGAGCAGAAGAAGGACCTCCACATGGTTTTCATTGACTTGGAGAAGACTTATGACAAGATACCAAGAAATGTTATGTGGTGGGCTTTGGACAAACTTAAAGTCCCATCAAAGTATGTGACCCTCATCAAGGACATGTACAACAATGCTGTGACTAGTGTTCGAACAAACGATGGTAACACAGATTACTTCCCGATTAAAATTGGACTTCATCAAGGGTCAGCCTTAAGCCTATATCTCTTTGCCTTGGTAATGGATGAGGTTACCAAAAACATACAAGGGGATATCCCTTGGTGTATGTTGTTCGTTGATGATGTAGTGTTAGTGGACGAAAACCAGGCGAGAGTAAATAGGAAACTAGAGTTATGGCGGCAGACCCTTGAGTCTAAATGTTTTAGATTGAGCAGAACTAAAACCGAACACATGAGATGCGACTTTGGTGGAGCTGCACAGGAGGCGGGAGATGTGAGTTTGGAAGGTCAAGTAGTGCCTAAGAAGGATACCTTTCGGTATCTGGGATCGATGCTACAGAGGGATGGAGATATTAATACGGACGTTAGCCATAGAATCAAAGCAGGGTGGATCAAGTGGTGACAAGCTTCTGGCATTCTCTGTGACAAGAGGGTACCACAAAAGCTAAAAGGCAATTTTTATAGAATGGCGATTAGACCGACTATGTTGTATGGAGTAGAATGTTGGACTACAAAGATTCGACATGTTCAACAACTGAGTGTTGCAGAAATGCGTATGTTGCGATGGATTTGTGGTCACAAGAATGGACCGAGTTCGGAACGATGATATACGTGATCGCCTAGGGGTAGCACCAATTGAAGAAAAACTTGTCCAACATCGGTTGAGGTGGTTTGACTATGTCCAAAGGAGACCTCCAGAGGCACCAGTGCATTGTGGAGTCCTAAGTCAAGCTAATAATATGAGAAGAGGTAGAGGAAAACCGAAATTGACATGGGGAGAGGCAATAAAAAGATATTTGAAAGCTTGTGATATAGCTAGAGATCTATGTTTGAATAGGAGTGCTTGGAAAGTAGCTATTGAAGTGCCTGAACCATGACTTGGGGCTCTTGGTGGGTTTCAACTCTGGCCTACCCCAACTTGCTTGGGACTGAAAGGGGTGGGTTTCAACTCTGGCCTACCCCAACTTGCTTGGGACTGAAAGGCTATGTTGTTGTTGTTATTGTTGTTGTTGTTGTAGTTTGAGCATTATTTTGATAGATTGGCTTCTGGCATAATTGTCACATATGGCTAAAATGGAGCAACATAAGACCTGGTTTTTTGCCCTTCTATCAGCATGGAGAGAAACACCAGCTGACCCTGCTTCAGATATAATTGCAATTAGTTTTTTGCCATCCATAAACTGCTGCTTTTCGTGCATATTAATCATCTCCATCGATACTTCTTTCCTACAGAGTAATGAACAAATTTTATACATGGGATTCGCTGAACCGGAAGCCCAGAACATAAAACATAATGGCATAAGTAATCTATCTCACGCGTTCCGCGCCTGATAAACCACGCCTTTCCCATCTGAAGCTCTTATGAGCATTCCACGACGTCCAGTTATTTCAGCAACATTGTCAGGCCCCCCTAGCTACAAGATAACAAATGTGGAAAGTTCTTAATGCATGTACAATCAGATGCTAAGAGTATGTGGGACCTAAGAATAGACTGAATTAAGATCTTATATGCAAATCATCTTGCTTATCATTGCTTCCATATTCTACAACAACATATGAAGTGAAACGATATAAAACAGAAAGATACTAGATGATGAACAGAAGTTAGAGGAACAAAGCAAAATCAATGAAAAAGCTCATGTCTTCAGCCAAAATGGATGCCACAAAGCACTAATTTTTAGTTAGCAGGTGCTAGAGCTCTATACTGAGAAAGCTCTGAGTTGAGATATACGAATGTCATATCCAGCCCATCAGGGCCCATAAGAACAACACACATGTTCTTCCTTGGGGATGGTACTGTTGAGTTGTTATCTATTTCCTTTAGTTTAGAGATTGGTTTTTTCGGTTCAAGCAGCAAAACCACAAGCAGCATGGGTAGAGATGATTGACTGGGACTGGGAATACCTTGCTTTATGAGAAGAGAGGTACAGGGTCATCCTTAGGATGATTTGAACCTTAAACCTAGTCGATGACAGCTTAACTTACCAAACATCCCTTATTCAGACAGTAAACAAATAGTTTGGCCCCCTCCAACCACCCCTGTTGCTGCTTTGGAATGTATGCCAGGCATTAGCCTGATAGGCTGGTACCCGCATGTAACAAGCAAAGTTCGGCTAGGCGGCGACTACGCGCGCCTAGTCGCTGGGCGAAGCCCGTCGCCGCGACTAGGGGCATAGTCGCGCATCGCGGCGCTAGGCGGAGCTAGGCGGCCGTCGCGACCACTGCCCAGCCGCAGCCGTCGGGCGCAGCCGCGCGTGCGCCAGCCTCAGCCGTCGGGCGGCCGCGCGTGCGTGTGTGCCCGCTCCGGCTGGCCGCGGCCTCCGGTGGACGCCGCACCTCCCCTGGCTGCCGCCTGCTGCCCCTCCCCACGCCGGGCGCGGCCCTCTGGTTGAAGCCGCCCCTGCTCTGCTTCACTCGGGGAACCAGGCGCGGCCCTCTGCTCTGCCTCGCCGCCCCTGCTCGCGGCCCTCTGCTATGCTCGCTGCCCCTGCTCAGCTTCGCTCGGGGAACCAGGCGCGGCCCTCTGCTCTGCTCGCCGCCCCCTGCTCTGCTTCGCTCAGGGAACCAGGCGCGACCCTCTGCTCTGCTCTGCTTTCTCTTGGAGCAGAGTAGCTGCTCTGCTCTGCTTTCTCTTGGAGCATAGGAGAGCTCCGTTGCCAAAACGCCTAGGAGCGCCTAGGACCGAGTACTCCCGACTAGGCGCTAGGCAATGGGTCAGCGCCTAGATTCCGCCTAGCGCCTAGCTGAACTTTGGTAACAAGCATCTACAATACATATCATTTTGGAAAAGAACATATATATAGAAGACAGGATAGAAAAACATGAGGAGCCATAATATAAACCAATGAATTCGTAGAAACTAGCTAGATAAATGGGAATCTTTACAGAATCCAAAGATCCAAATTTCATCAAAATCTCATCCCAAGCACAAAGCCTACACATGTATGAAAAACAACTTGCCAGATATTTGCTTACCAAAAAATAACCTGGAGTTGCTACATTCTCACTGTCAAGGATATAATGCTATAACTCTGCACTTTAAACTCTCGATGCAGGACTAATCCCACCACTACTCCACTACAATTGGGCCCCAAGAGCTCCTAGAATGATTCCAGGGGGAGCTCTGTCAAATGGCAGTTTTCAGGGAATCACTCCTAGAGTGGGTTCCGTGGCGTGATTCCCTGAAACGAACTAAGATGTTGGGAGTTACCTATACAGTTTATCCTAGAGAACCACATAGATTATCCTTCGATACCATACATGAATAAAATGCCAAAAAATCATAAATTTGAGAAACAGTACGGATTGTAATGTTCAACATTATTACTGCCAACAAACCAAAACTACCTGATCAATGATATCATCCAAGGGATTATTGGGGAGATCCAAGGAGCGTATTAGATCCAAAATCTTCAACCTTTTCTCTACTGCAGAATCGTACCTACAAGTCACAAAAGCAACTAGCATAAACTGGGGCCATTGAGCATAAGTTATAAGGATCGCGATTCGTCTAACAAATATGAAATATGCACCTCTTTGAACAATCAGCTACATGGACATCTTGCTCTTCTTCCTCGTCTTCTACTATCTTGCATGTGTAGCATGCCCAATCATCCGTAATCATCCCAGTCCAAGGTGGTGTTAGACAATTAGGGTGAACATGCCGAGAACAACCAGAACAATGAAGCAACAGGCTCTTCTCCTGATAGATCAGATATTGTAAAGAGAATTTCACAAAAAAAAGATTAAAAAAGTAGAGATGGCATTAAACTTTTATTTAACCTTTTTTTTTCTAAAGTTAAAAAGTGTTATATTGTTCTGAAGCATTCTACAACTACAAAAAGTTTTCGGCGTTATTATCAAGCCACAGCAAGAGATGTTCTGAATACAGCATTACAGCCAAAGGTCATGGTACAAAATATGAAAAGAAAGAATTATGAATACAGCAAAAGCATGCTTAGTAGTATACAAGAAATGGTATGGACAAATTTGGAAATCAATAATTATGAATACAGGCAAGGTCATTATGCATATCAAAAAAGTATATCATCCTCAATGAAGGTAAAAGAATGTGGAACAGAATAAATGCAAACATCTCTGTATTAGTAAATAATTAATAAATACCAAGGAAGAAAAGTCACCTCCTCTGTGTTGCAGATTTGACACATGTGGAACTCCTCATCAGATTCTGTTGATTCATGATCTGACTCAGCTGAAACATTTAAAAGTATTAGAATATTAATGTTGTTAAATGGAAAGCATCCATGTAAGAATAGTACTAAACTACTGATATGGCTACTTTGGTTGAAAGGTAAGCAGGAGGTGGAGGTGTGCTCATCCTCATGAAGAGGCTCTGAAGTCTGAACAGCCTGATTTGGTGGATTAGATAATTCCTTGCTTCACTCACAAAGTTCTGGCGTACTTATCTATAGTGGATTAGATTATTCCTTGCTTCATTCACAAAATTCTGGCATACTTATATTATAGAGCCCAGCCCTAAAAAACAGCTACTTCCTCTCATCTCCTGTAGCTAACAGTTCAAAAGAAACATGTAGAAATGAGAGGGAGAGAAGAGATGAGAGCAACTACGCAAACAACCAAAGGGCCTGGGGCCTGGCATACTTATCTTATAGAGTCCAGCCCTAAAAAACAGCTACTTCCTCTCATCTCCTGTAGCTAACAGTTCAAAAGCAACCCGTAGAAATGAGAGGGAGAGAAGAGATGAGGGCAACTACGCAAACAACCAAAGGGCCTGGGGCCTGGGGGCGCCTGTGTATATATATTGAGTAGCAATTTCTATATGGTAAAGTATACTTCCTCTCATCTTCAAGTACTCCCTCTGTTTGGAAACCTTAGTCATCTAGGGCATTCCTACATGGTCTACAAGATGATATTTTGAGTAGCAATTTCTATAAGGTATATTTTAAAAACAAAGTACTGTGTATTACAACAATATCACAATGGCTATTAGGGTGAAATTTGGTCAAGGCGCCTCAAAGTAGCTGATCAACAAGTATGGCTATGTGGAGTCAGGCTGTAGCGATATACCATGCCACAGCAAGTGCCACTGTTGATAGCGTGCGGCAGGATCATTCAGAGAAGTACCAGTTTCTTGGGTACTACTCATTTATTGCACACTTAAGTTTTAAAGCAACATTGTACAATTTATAGTTTTTTTTAAAAAAAAAGATTGTACAATTTATAGTTGGAATTCTTTATTCCTATTATACTAAGTATCACATGGAAAGTCCCAATGTCCATCTGCCTACCAGGGACATCTTGGAACATTTAGACATCTAGTCATCATTCTTTTTCCTTTTTCTCGAACTCATTTTCGTCCATATATCTCGATTGTTTCGTAATGGGTCTTCGATGCACCAACCTACAGGGCAAGTTAATGTTCTTTTTCATCACAGAGTTAACTTTTTTTACCTCATTATTTATATTTTCATTCATTTTTTCCCAGTATTGCATTCGAATCATATCTCATACCTATTAATTCCTTCACTGATTACTTTCAGTTTCTCTGAGATATTTTCTTCCAGTTAATACATTTTATTTCAATATAAAGCCATACTTGTAAGCGTAAGTGACATACCATGTAACTAACATTTGTTTGCTACATGGCGAAAAACATGAAACAAAAACCATGTCATTACCAGGAAACTTACATGGAGAATAATCATTGGTGTCATCATCACTCACATCTACCACTTTCGCCACTTTCCTAACTCGCCCTTTAAACGATACATCCAGTTCAGAATGGCGCTTACGCTGGATCTCTGTGACTTTTTCTTCACCTAATAGAAGAATTTACATTAAAAAATCACAACAGAGCAGGCAACAGGAAAAATCATAAGAATTGAGAAAAAAAGATGCAGCAGAATTTTAATATAAATAAGTAGGCACAATGAAAATATTGAATCCCCTTTTCTACCAGATGTTAACCCCTATTAGCTAGATGAGAAAGGACCAAACCCCAGAGCATGACTTTGCTTATGCAAGTGGGAATGGATTTTAGAATATGGCATGCATATTTAGCAGAAGGAAAGACCATTGAATCGTAAACTAACTTACAAGTACCAGCATTTTAAGCATTACACAGTAGTTTGCAATCATGTTGGACCCAAGGATGGTAAAAACTGGATGAGATTTACATGCTGAATAACAGCAACAAACCTTGCTGAAAAGAATCGGGTTTTGGAGGTAAAGGGTAGTTTTCTTCTACCAACTTAAGAAGGAGCTCCCGAGGGCCAGAAACGAAGTCTTCCATTTCAACTCCCTGATTCAAATTTCAAATAATCAAGTATTCAGATTTTTGGAGAAGTAATCTAATTTGCAAGGATCTATGATTGCTACAGATGAAAAGAAAAGGAAGTGTTCAGTAGAAAATGTGAACAGACATATTTTGTGACAGCTTCTTCAGTTCTAGCTTCTCCAGTGCTCTGAAGACCAATCACCACACATTTGTTCTCTGCCAAGGCCTCTTTAGCTAACCTCACAGCAGCAGGTACCTTTGCAGACATGCACATGTGCCTGAAGAAACGCTGTAAAACGTAGTTCATCAGTTATGAAGCATAACGAACAGCAAGTATTTAAGCATGTTGCAATTATTATCTACCATATGGGTCATGTTTTCCATGTGTGTATTATTCACACTATACAAATTTAGAATTATTTCTCAAGTTCAACTATGCAAAACATAGGGGTCATGTTATGTTGGAAAACAATACACACATGGATTGTCAAGGTGAAGTATGCAAAGGCCATAAAATTTCATACAAGCTCATTTACCTGATGGCTGGCCCAATACAACCGCCATATTTGATTTGAATTGCCGTCAGCAAATAATTCACTTGCTGATAGGAGTTCAAGGCGCAATTCAGCCCAAAATTCAGCAGCCTTTTTGTACATGTTCTGCGTTACAAATAAGATTAAGAAACTTTATCATGAGCTACATATAGATCCACAGCCTAGGAATAGTTACATAAGCTGAAGTTGCACATGGATGTTACTAAAAATTGAGAAAACTTTTTAGTCCCAAGCAAGTTTGGATAGACTACCACAAAAATAAACAATGAATAGAGTTAGATATGTTGTCCTGCATTTGCACAGGATAGAGGAAGACTTTCATTCGTTAGTCTTTCGATGGTTAGGCACGCTATGTAGATACAATATAAAAAGATTCCAGCATTTAACTTGCTGTACATACACCTTTCATGTTATAAATTCTATTGTGCGGAACTCCCCAGAAACTTTTGGTAAAAGAAAAATAATAGGAAGAGTTCAGACAATGGTTCCTCTCTACAAAAAGCACTCATAGAACAGAAGAAAAACACAGATGTGGTAAAACAAATGAAAGGGCAAAGTGCCAACGCCAGTCGTAAGGCTGAGAATACAATTCAATTTAATTTAGTTTCAATGCAGAAAGGTTGTCAATACCGTATGGTCTTACCATCATTCTTTCCTCAAGTGGAGCCTCCACTATATCAAAATCAGCCCCTTTGTAACTTAATGTACGGCATACATACATACCCCTGCAACAGTTTAACGATAGAAGTACTCAACAAGCTGCACTGATGAACAGAATGCACCAGCCAGTACTTATACTTATAAAGACAAAAGGCTGGATGAAAACTAATCAGTTCCCATTTAAAGAAAGCACGACTGGGACATGTTACCCATTACAGATGGGCTCTTCATGTACATAACAATTAAAATTTGGCAGAAGAAAAGATACCTAGCTTTCATGTCCATGGCAACAAGTTCAAGTGCTCCCACACCACCTTTCTCAAGAGCACCTAAAAAGTAAGTATAAATCTGAGCAACTGCATTTAGATTTATAATGAATCACAGAACATACATAAATAATTCAAGGCATGTGATTCTTCAAGTACAAAGACTAGTCCTGAACGAAACATGAAGCAATAAGTGACAAGCATAACATAACATAACTGAAAATACAGCACTAGACCCACTTCTTAAATGATAATTTAAACTATCAGTGCAGCTTGAGTTATTAAGAGAACAGGTCAACCAAACTTGTCCCTACAGCTCTGCTAGTATGATATGTTCTAGCAATCCAATAATGATATGCTCATTCCAACTGAGCCATCCTTTACGCATCAAACTGGCATGCTGTTACAGCTGAAATTCCTTTTAAGGTATATTGTGACCATAATTTAGGGTCCAGTATTGGGTTTGGGTCTAATACTCTAGACTCTTAGTGCCACTAGTATGTTTGCGCTGTTAATTGAAATAGGGCCAATCTCAATTGGGAAAAAGAAGTATGTTTGCTGCTAGCAATCTAGCATGGACGCACCAATTACTTATTGTCTTATTGAGTGCAAGATAACTTGATAAAAGAACTTAAAACAAAAGGAAAGATTCACATAAAAAGGATGAAGCAACAAACCTAAAAATTGTGAAAAATTATGAAATGATGTTCCTTCACCCCAAAGTCCAAGCCGAACCATATAGCCCAAATTTCGTGGTTCTGATGCACCAGTTGCTGAGCAGTAAACAACCCGAGCCTCAGGTAACTTTTCCTGCCATGTTTGGTCATGTTACAATGATAGTTTGAATCCTGGCTAGCGCAAATAAATAAAATAATTGTTGCTCTATTTAAGAGTAAATGATTTCTATGGGTCTGAAGTCTGCTTGGTTGTCTGCACAGCCCCTTATCCATGCCCCTGTAGTGCAATTCACCCCAATTCGGCCAAATCATGCATATCCAGCTCTGCACCCTCCCTTCCGCACACACTCTACAGCCCAAGGCTCAGTCTGACCACTTACGCAAGAAATCAATCACACGCATAACACTGTTCAGACGAACCAAACAACAGCTAATTACATAGCCTTGTGCAGGTTAAAGGTATGCTGCATAACACCTAATACAATGCAATACTAATGCAAGGAACCAATCAGACCCTATAAAATAATTCACTAATGTATTGTGCCTTGAATTTCCTTTAATTATGCACCAAAAACTTGACAAACAGAATCAGATTACACCATCTTCTTGAAATGATCCTCACAAACTGAACAAACAGAATCAGATTAAAGCATCTTCTTAAATGTATTGTGCCTTGAATTTCCTTTAAATTATGCACCAAAAACTCTATTTAAGAGAAAACGATTCCTATAAGGGTAATTCACTAATGTAATCACAAACAATTTTTTTCAGTGCTAAGCATAGTTTCTCTAATATTTCGTGATGACTAAGACTCACTAAATTGGAAATAGAAAGATCAAAGGTTTTCTTCCCAGACAGATTACGATAAGCTCAAGCTATAAATCACACACCTGGATCTCAAGAACTGCTTTACCAGTGCGAGTGGGCTGGCTTCCGGCATCAGGAATCAGATTTTTGGCCTTGTGGCACTGCAAGAGACATTGTTTCAGCATACATCACATATTCAGGTATGCAGATCTGGCTATAAAATGCATATTATACCAAATGATGATAATTCAAGTGAAATACATTACCTCATCAAACACAAGGAGACCATCAAACTCTTGCCCACACCATTGAACCAATTGCTGCAAGCGGGAGCGGCCTCTCTCAGACGATGCTATTAGGCTACTATAAGTTACAAAGATTACCCCATTCTTAATTCCAATGGCCTTCGAATCTAGCTTAGAATACGGTAACTTATTTAAAGGGTGCACTGCATAATACATATAGCAACATCAGCAACATCAGTTGTAAATACCAATAATAGATATAGATAAATCAATCTGCTTAACAGCTAGAAAGCAAATTCTTCTGATAATTAACTAATTGTGTGTGTCCCTTTGATGGTACAAAGCACTAGACCAGACTGGATGCTTAAATGTTATCAAAAAATGTTACTACTGAAATTCATCAAGGACCTCCCAACTCCCGGAAATTATAGGGGAGAGTGTGTATCAGGAGATTCAGGCACTTGTTATTCAATAACTTTATTTCCTCATCACTGTGTCACACTAATCTAAGCATTCTAGATAAATATTATATCAAAATCCCATACTGTTGAAGGTGCAATATAAATCAAGTTACAACTCGAAGTGAAAAGGTCTCACACCTTGGACACACTTTGCACCAACATCATCCAAATCTCTTCGAGCATCATACTTTAAGTCAGAACCGACAGATACCCACCTGGAATTGCAACCAACAGCTAAGATCAAGCAATGAAGAAGGCAGCCATAACTTAAGAAATTGTTGGAAAATCATCAAGAATAGCTGATGAATATGATTTTTCAAGTCTTACACTGCCTTATGCCTTCCCTGCTGCCAATTTTCCCAGATTAATCCAGCAATTGTTCGGCCCTTACCAACGCCAGCCCCGTCACCAATGAAAAAACCTGCTCTATGGCCAGTAGGGAGATGATGAAGGTGCCTCTGTCATACAACAAAACAAATATTTACATGTGTGATATTATAAAAACTTCATAGAATAATCATAGGATGGTAACCAACCTGACAAGCATAAACTATTGTTTCGATTTGCAAACAAGACAATGCCCTTGTCTCATCCAATTCATCCATGATATTCAAGCAGTAAGTTGGTTCAGGAGGTTGTACAGCTGACAAAGAAGAAGTTTCTACAACTGGATCTGGATGAGATAGACCAAATGATAGCTTGGGAGGCCTCTGGAAATAAGTGCAAACATAGCAAAATTCACAATCAGTTGGACAAAACATATCTATAAGCACAGAAAGCAATTCTGCAAGTGTGTACTCAGCATCTAAGTCAACGGATAGAGTATTTACATAGTCAGTGAAAGTTTCTCCAACAGTGCCACCTTCATCTTCATCACGCTCAACATCAATGGCAACCTGCTTGACAAAGTCCCAGTAAGTTAAAGGTTGAAAGCTTCTTGATATAATTATGAAGCAACCATTGGGACCTGAGACACTAGTACGATAAAACATAGAAAACAAGCTGGATGTTTATGATAAAACCTTGTCGAAATTTTGCATGCAATGATCATACTTTAACAATTACAATGGAGAATGCTATGCATAAACCAAGAAACATATTGTGCACATTTGAAACATTATACAAATCTTTCAACCTACAACAAAAAAAAAGGTGCACTAAGTGCATAGATAATCTGAAAACTGTCTAATATGAACTGAGCTAGCTTGCCCCATCCACTAAAAAACTAAAAGTGCTTACTGACCGTCCAATTCAACTACCTCAAATGAAAGAAGAAAACCATGGAAAAGAAGCAGTGCACAATTCAGATATTTGTTACCTGTGTTGATCACTACAAATTGACAAAACATCCTTCAACTAAGAGTACAACAAATAAAACAATAGTGCAAAATAGCATAGATAATCTGAAAGGTGTCAAATATGAACTGAGCTAACTTGCCCGTCAATTAAAAAACTAGAAGTGCTTACTGACCAGTCAATTGAACTACCACAAATGAAAGAAGAGCACCATGCATTGCTGAAGGAAAGAAGAGTGCACAACTCAGATATCTGTTCCCTGTGTTGATCACTACAAATTGACAAAGCATACAATTCTGCCCACAAAGTATATAAATGAAACTCTTCAGATTATGTCTCCCCACCCCCCCTGTGAATTGCCCTCTTTTATACGAAAGGGAAAATTGCAAAATGCAAAGCAGAATTCCTCACTCCAACATTTTCTGTTTCAGCATAGAATTACTGCAACGTATTATCGTATAGAGAGTACAATGCCACTCATCCCCACCGTTCACCCTTCGTGTTGACTGTCCAGACGATTACTTCACAAGGTACTGACATGATCACACAACAGAGTACCTCATTGATCTCCTCGGGCGGTTCGGCGGCAGGCAGCACCATGGGAATTGTTGCGCCAGCCACTAGCTGCAGCGGCTGCGCCACGCCAGGCGGCAACACGGGGAGGGATGTCGCCAGAGGCGGCTGCGTCTTAGTCACCGAGGTCGGGGCGGGGCCCGATGGCGCGGCGCTGTTGGAGGAGGCGAGGAATTTCTGTAGCTTGGTGTGGTCCACGGCAAGGTCGACGCCACACTGCGGACAGCGGAAGCGGGCGAGGCCGTGGGGCACGTTGAGGACGGCTTGGCAGCCCGCGCAAGGGAGCTGGATCTTCGTGGGGTCCACCCCCTGAGCCGGCGGCGCACCCCTCCGGGGCTGCGTAGGAGGAGGGGGAGAAGGCTTCGCGGGGGATTTGGGCGCAGGCGACGAGGTCGAGGTGGACTTAGGCATGAGCTGTGGCGGGAGGCGCTGCTCCATGCGGCACTTGGGACAGATGAACTCGGTCACGCCGGGGCCGACAGCGAGGACACCGCGGCAACCGGCGCAGAGCACCTGAACGGATGCGGGAGCCGGGGAGGGGGACGAGTCGCCGGCCATCGGCGGCGACCGCACGGCGAGGGTTTCGGGGCAGCGGAGCAGGGGTGTCAGGTCTCGGTTTCCTTCCACGCTCGGGAAGAGCAGAGGAGAGAAACCGAAACGGTACAGCCAGAGTGGGAAGGTAGTCTGGCCCGGTATATTTGAAGATTTCGAGAATGGTTGGGTGACAAATGGGAAACTGATGCCTCGTTCGTTTCGTTTCTGCTTATTCGTTCATATCTGGCTTATAATTTACGGTTTAAACAATATTTTTCTTTCACATCAAATCAGTCAGCAGTACTTTCAGTCATGGCTTATAAGTCAATTCAGCCGAAATAAACAGGCTGTAAGTTTTTTATATATATCTGCATGTATAATATAAAATTTATAATAACGAGATGTAAAAAAAACAACCATACTCCCCCTGTTCCAAAATAATTAACCTTCTAGTCCAGGGATTAATAAAGAGAAATAAAAAAAGATATGATGCATAGAAAATAAAAAAGAAGAGATAGATATGTATTAGAAAGAGAAAAAAAAGTGCATTGAGAAATGATAATGATAATTATTTTAGGTCCTTTAAGTATTTTGGGACCGTCAAGAATTTTGTTGTTTAAGCAACTTTAGAAGTAGGATTTGCCTAAATACCATACAAAATCTATGTTTCGCCAATATGCCATTATGAATGCAGGCTCACACGCTATTTTAATGTGTTTTGAAACCGTTTGTCATTCATGATATTTGTTGGCACATGGTCCGACTATTTAAGGGCCACTTAGTTTTTGCTATGCACTGTTACGCGTTGCCCAAAGAGAATAGCGAGCGAGAGCGTGTGCTTGGTTCCCTTGAAACGCCTCGGGGACTACGTGGGCAAGGTTCAAGCGCAGGAGAGTCAAATCGGCTTCGTAACTCGGATGAGCTCCTCGTTGCTCGCACCAACGTAGCGAGGCGAGGCAAGTCAAGCCTCCACCAGGAACCGAGCAGCCGCTTACCTTTGACACTCTATCCATTCATTGGGCAAGTGACGGATGCATGCACTCATCTTCATCTCCGCACGTGAAAAGGAATGGGATGGACGCACGCTCCCACTAGTGTTGCCTCGTCGTAGCCCCTTTATCGACCCACCTCCACCTTCTCGTCGACACTCCTCCAACCCAACGCAAGCCCAGCCCTGTCGCCCAGACCAAGCCCGTCCCAAGTTTACCCTCATCCCCCGCTCCTTAGCGCCCCCTCCGACGTCACCATGGTATAGGTGCAATTGGCCCTAACTGCATAGAGGTTAGGTCAGTTTGATTTATGCACCGATTGATTTTCTGAACCTCATATATGTGCTCACGAATCTTAAAGTCTAGTCTTAGCATAATACAATAGCCATTGAATGCCATTGGCTTGATTTCGTCCCTGCAATGTGGGTAGTGTAACGTGCAACTTTTGTAGCAACTAACTCTAAGTAGTGTTGCCTAAGTTTTGTGAAAATTAGTAGGTTGCACATCTAACTTCGCTCCTTATCAACTATTTTATCAAGGCTTATGAGCCCGAGGCTAGTTTAGATCTTATTGATCTCCTGTGTGTTGTTGGTGGTGTTACAAAATGCAGAACACCAACACCCAGAAGCATAGCTTTTTGACTAGGATGGAAATCATCGGTGATGAAAAGTTGTAAGAGCTTTTGGGATTGGGGAGAAGGCCAAGGAGGTTGCCAAGGCAGCTCCCACTGATGGTGACAAGGAAAAGTGTTTGTTCTGGAGGATACTTTTGGTACTGCTATTCTGATTGATGATGACATACCACAGGGTAGGAAGTGAGATCTTGTATAACCTGAACTAGGCCAACATAGATCTTAGTACCATGCACCCCTGTATGAAGGAGTTTAAGTTGACAGTACGATAGTTTGCTATAGATGAGAAAATTAAATTAAAAATTGTTAACACATGCCAAAAAAGATATACTAGGGGTTGTAAAGCAGAAGGAAACCCATGGCATATTATCGAGCACGAGCAACTTTGGGAATACCTCCTTTCCTATCCTGTATAGCTTTCTTCTGTAACTCTGTACTCATTTTGTTTGTTTTACCTTTTAATATATTCCAGTAGGGGCTCTCTGCCCCTCCTGTTCTTTAAAAAAAACTTTGGGAATACCATAATAATATTGATTTGTTTAATATGTTCATATGTTTTCTGTTTCATTATGCGTTGTTGATAAACAATTTAATTTAGTTATTTATTTTATGTCGTAACATCGACTGCAGGGAGGACTACTGCACCTACTACTGCCTGTGCTGTTTCAAAGATTGCTCTTATCCTTAAGAAGCATGCAAGTATGGGGAGTAAGTAGTTGAGGGACAAGCTGCACAAAGAGCATAAATGTAAAATTTATTATGAGTTTATAATACAATATGAAAGAAAAGGACAAGTAGCTCTGAGAGAGTTGTATGGAATGACAACTTTCACATGTTTAATTCAAAGGCTAGGGCCACGAAGAAGTCATCACGTAGTGATATTGAGATTGGATTAACAGCCTGTTCGGGAGGCCGTATCGTATCGTGGATTATTTACTGCTGGCTGGTTTGGTGTGAGAGAAAAACACTGTTTCCGGTTGGAAATTTACGATCGTTTACGAGCAAGCGAACATGCTGTTAATAGGTAGATTGGAACTTCTTTTTTCTCTAGGTCGTTCTTTTGTGTACTAGGGCCTTTCATTAAAGGTATCCCAAAGTCAATCCCACTACACTCAATAGTAGGTGGATTGGCACTTAGGGTGTCTCCCACGGTGTTAGGAATCGCTAGTTCGGAAGAGTACCTATCCAATCCGAAGAAGAGATAATAAGAAAATACTACGCTAGCGAGCCCTCAAGAGCCTAGCCCGGTCATGCCCAAGTCTTCTTGGTCTCTGACATGTCTGCAACCTCATTAAACTATCTAACTTGTTTTTTCCTTTTTTAACTATTTCCAGTCTCCACGTCAGCTACATATTCTTACGCGCCGTTGGGATGCCCTTAGTTGTAGCCACTGCTATAGACGGTCATAACCGTATATATTCAGTTGCCTCTGGCTTCGTTGATAGAAACAAACGAATAATTGGACTTGGTTCATCTCCGTATCTTCTCCAGGTTCTAGTGCCGCTGCATGGTCTGTTCATTTGTGCTATTCAGCCAGCTTTAATTCGTACAAATCAACCGTGGAACAGTATTTTTTTCACAGCAAACCAGCCATATAAATCAGCCGATTTAATACCAGCCGAACATATTTCCCAAATCGAAATTGAATAATTATATGACGCACCGCTGTCCCGCCGCGCCGCGTGATGTCTGCTTGTTTGTGTAGTTGTGCCGCGCCCCGGCCATATGTATCCTGTCCTGTCGCACTTTACGGCGTCTCGGACTCGGAGGCTCATATCCACGCCTTGCCGGCTTGCTGCGCCTTGCCGCGGTGTTGTCGAGCTGCCAAGTTGTGCCGGCGGGACTCCATGCCGTCGTGCGCTTGTGCGACTGTGCCTTCTACTTGGCGCCGCTCCATTTGCGCCGTCGTTGGCTGCCTGCAGCTGGGCGGATTCTGGAACCCCGACTAGCGCAGATGCGCGGGTTGCGGACAAGAAGTAGTTTTTTTAGTGTAATGAGAAGCTCAAAATTTATTACAAAAGCCAGTAGGAAAAAAAAGTCTGAAGCCAAAAGCCAGCTTTTAAGCTAAAAACTTAATCTGTTCTCTGGCATTCGTTCTCTGGCATTCCTCCCCATTGCCTCCACGATTCCACACTATAGGAGCCATGGCCGGTCTTCTCTGCATCCCTTATCTGTTCAAGTGTTCATTCAGTTCATTTGATCCAGTTCCACCCGCCAGGCCATCACGCATAAACAACTGAAGGAATAATTCATCCACGTGCAAATAATGAAAGTGCACCTATGAAGCAAGTTATCTAGTTACTAATCATGGAGAGGAAATGGCTTAAAGAATGAACGGATGCCTGCCATCACAAACTGCATCATCATCATCATTCGATTTGAATGGACTTTAGGTCGATTGGAACAGCGTCGAACTTCATAGACTGGGCTCAAGGTTCAGAGAGCCAGCTTTACACATGTACTTGGCTTCTCAGCAATGTTATCAAAGTAGTCCAACTAATCACAGCTAGTCATGATTAGTCGGGCTTAACAGTGCCATGACAATCAGTTATGCACTAAGATTAGTCACGATTAGTCAGGCTGATCGATGCCATAGCGACTAGGGTCGATTAGATGATTTGAAAACATTGCTTCACATGGGGCTCCAAAAATTCATCAGAGCTTGGTTTTGGACCTGCATGGATGATGACAAATATGGTCCTGTCCGAATCAGAATACGTGGTAGAAGCAATGATAATGGATGGATATTTTCTAGAAGGTACAGCTCAGAATTATAGCTGGATGTTACCTGTAGAAAACCTGGAGGTGACGACGGTTCACCTTCTAATTCCTTCGGGTCCGTGAAGTCTTGTTCCTCAGGTTGCCTGCACTCTTCTTGATGGCTATAGCCTCCTGCAGCTTTTTCTGACTTTCTTCCATAGCAATCAACTTCTCCCTCAATGCAGCTGCCTCGTCTTCAGCCTTTCTCTTAGCCTCCATGGCTTCGTCCAAAGATGCCTTCAAGGCGGCCTTCCCCCGTCGGCGCTTTGGGCCTTCTGATTGCTTTTGACGTAATTCATGGAGTCGCCGTGCCTGGATGTAAAATTAAACCTCAGCTCTTCCATGCATGTTCCACATAAATAAAAAATAAGTCATATGAATTTAGTTTCTCGTGTGTCACAATGGCATCAGCTGCAGCCTTCGTCACAGGCCTCCCATCCTTGGGTGTGTGAGTCAATATGAACAAGTCCTCAACAGTTGGCTCATCCTTATTTGGCCATTTTTGTTTCTGTTGCACAGAATAACACAATTAGCGCATTACTGACAGTGAAAGCAAAGGAACAACCTTAAATTACCTCCTCTTCAATTCTACGTGCAAAGCTCTTCGTCCCTGAGGTCTGATAAGTGGTTACTTTTGCCTGAATAGCCTTGTTTTGAGCACTTAAAGCCTGATCAGAGATAAACAAACTAATCATATCCAACAAGCAACAAAATCACAAATCACAATGGCAGCAGAAGCTATGCACAGGAAATGGAACATTAAGTATTACCTGTGCTTTTTCAGTACTCCAATATGCAACTAAGAATCGCCAATGTTCTTCGAGGACACGAGGATTCCGATCGGCAAGGCGCTCCTCTTCTGTTTCATGAGTATCAAAATGCTGTTGTTTTAATTGAAATTTCCATGTCCTCCACTTCTTTGCTAAACTCTTCACAATCCATGACTTTGGAAATGGAGCAATGTCAAATTTGAGCTACACCAATATATAAAGTGTGTAAGAGAACTAAAGACAGTGGCTAAAAACAGAAACCATATTAGTGCATACCTTGACAATATGACACATCACATCCTTATTTTTCTCAGGAACAAGTTTCCAATTATGGTATGTAAGAGGTGCCAGTATTCCATCCCGTGCTAATGCACCCAGAAAGGAAGTCAATGTGGCTGCTTCTTTTCCAATAGGCTGACCTGAAGAGTTCAATGAAACTGGTATGTGCATGCCCTTATGCATGGTCCACACCTTCAGACATAGTGTTAAACCACGAGGACGTCTACCTATTTGGAAGGAGGCAAAATATCAGAAGTCTTAACAGCTGTACGATCATTTATATGAAATCACACACAACCTGACTCAGCATGGCTTGAACCCAGAGTCCTGTAACTTGCCATAATGATGAGAAAAAGAAATGCCCAGACTCAAGGCCCGTTCAGCCAAGAAACAAAAGGGAACTGAAGCCCGCTTTATATCAAATCTCCCTCCTGTGTTCGATTGGATCAAGTCCAAACACTCAAGCTTTGTATTCGATATGTTGGATTAGCCCAAGTTAATTGTCCTCATGAACTATAAGATTTGAGGAGACCAGGAAAGAAAACAAAACCACTAGCAGCTAGCCATTCTCAGTTCATGTACTGTTGTTGCAAGGGTGTAAAACATATTTACAGGTTAAAAAAGGGTATTGCTAAATAAAAGGCATACAGGTTTGCAGATTATGCTCAGTGCGTGTCTCAAATATATAGATCGCGGTTACTGTAAAAATACCAAAAAGATTGACACCCATGAGTTCCTCACAATTAAAATTAAAAAAAAAAAATCCACGTGTCATGATGCATATTGTCTTCTATTACTTCCATATCACAATTTTCCATAAATGTCAACTAGCTGTTTATCTCACCGGAGTCACCATTCAGAAGTGAAAAAGAGACCAAGAGGAAAAGTTAAACTTCAACGTTGACTTCAAAGTATTAACCCCCGATAATTGGTTAATAAGAGGGATTCATCAGACAACGTAGTCAAGCAGTCCCCAACAGGTCACTTTTCTCCTAGTGGTATGATTCATCTATTAAAAGCCCAAAATTGCACAACTACCCCTTGATATGAATGTGCAACTAAGTTCTCAGATGGAACTGCCACAATGATCCCATCAAAAAGACAAAAACACAGGTGACTATTGCCACTTTGCCATGGTTTCAGCATAACAAAAAATTATCTAACATGCAGCATTGAAGAGGGGAGGGAGCACAAATGAGAGAGGAGTAAGGCCATTTTCCATCCTTTCTTTATGACTTATTCTGCGGCACACACAATAAGGATGATAGAAATGCAAATTACCTTTTCTCTGAGATGCTAGCTGCACTTCCTGCCCTTCTGAATCCATTGAATCTCGCAGGTATGCCTCACCAGAACTTTGCTGGGACGTCATATGATGAGGGGATGACTTGGAATCTTGCTTTGCGAGGGCCCTTTTAACATCTAAAGGAATATAGGTACGAGCAAAATCCTCAGGATCAGCCATGTCGAGGTTTGAAGAAAAATGCTCAGCATCCGACATGTCATGGTTTGGAGAAGGTAGCGTAGTTATATGAAGGTTCTCCGATTCATTAGAGCATGTTTGAAGAAACTCAGGTGAAGGCACTGAACTGTTACATAAATTGTCGATGATTCTATTAGTATCTGACAGATCAGACGAACGTACTGGAGACTGTTCATCAGGCTCACTTTCTGTTTGTTCAGCATCTATACTGGCCGTTGGCATGAGGCCATTTGGAGAAACAGCTTGACATCCAACATTTTGCCTATGAATTACTTCAGTGTCCATGACAAGTTGTCTGTCTGTGGCAGCAGATGAATCTCTTGCCAAACGTTTGCTACGCCTAAGCTGAAGAACTGAATTTGAAGCAGCAACCAAGCCTTTTCGTTTCCCTGCGTGAACTCTGTGGCTTCCTGGCTGTTCCGATTCCACGTGTGTTACTTGATTACCCATTTCCCTGCGAATCACAGATTCAGAATGTTCGCTTCGCACCTCTTGAGTGGCACCATTTGTTGTCTGCTCTTGTCTCCTCTCTGAACCCATAACATCGAGGCCAATCAACTGCCTCCTGCCCCTGTTGTCATTGCCTGCAATAGTCTCATGAACCAGTTGAGTGCATGCCCCTTCTCTGTGGTTTGTTTTCCTTCCAGATTTTTGTTGCTTTTCCTGAACATGAATTGTCCCATTTGCTGATCCTGCCTGAGCAAGCTCAAGAGATGTCACGTAACAAGAATGCTGTTTCTGTGACTTATGCGTAATCTGTTGGGCAGTCTGCATGATTCCCCTCTCGACACTTACAGTTCTGGGGCAAATGGATTGCCCAACTGTCCTATTTATATCCGTTGAGGTAGTATCGTTAATATCTGCAACATGCCCTGATTCGCTAAAAAGTGCAGAATTAACAGGATTTTGCAGTGCCTCAGTAACTCGATCCGGATTCTGTTGATATGACTGCTTTGCACGAATAGCATGGCTGGAAGTAAGATCTTGAGCCTGGTGCCTGACCTGAGATATAGGCTCTCCATGTCTCTTTTCTGCAGAAACAATTCTGGAGCTGCCTGGATATATGTTCCTCTGGTCCTGATACCTTGCAGTGTCATCGGGGACCCCATGTACCTCTTCTCCATCAATCGTGTAATCAGGATGCTCTGATTCTGGCGGCTCTGGAATAAACTGGTCAGCATGCTCTGTATGTGCCTGTTTGATCCAAGTTAGCTAAATGTTAGGTATTAGTCTTGCAAAACTTGCAAAGTTTTGGATTCTCTTGCTGAATCTGAAGCGCATAAGGAGCAGCTAAAAGTAACGATGATTTTCCCGGATTATAAGCTTCTAAAGCATAAACTACTGCACTGCACCACCCCCCAAGTCAAGCTAAGAGTTCGATATGTTTAAACTTTGTTAAATTGTACACTGAGTACATAGATGATAGAAGCTCACTCTATATTTTTTTATTACAAAATTTCTAAAAGAAAATTAATCCTAAGAATAAAATTACACAAGGGGGAAGACACAATTACACAGCAAGAGCAGTATAGCACAATACCTGCCGGACTTTGAGGATGGGAGGCTCCGAAGACGAGGCGCCGAGCGGCACAACGGGGACGGCATCCGCCGACGCGGCGGAGGAAAGGAGGTAGTGCCTGAGCCTCGCGGTGTCGACGGCGAGCTCGGCGCCGCAGAGCGGGCAGGCGCAGCGCGTCATCCCGACGGGCACGCTGAGGAGCGCGCCGCACGCGCCGCAGGGGAGCCGCGCGCCACGCACGTCGGCGGCGCCGCGGGGCAGTGGAAGCGCCTTCCGGCGGGGCGGCGGCGGCGGCATGAGCTCGGGGGGAAGCGACTGCGGCGTGGCGCAGTCCGGGCAGATGAACTCCGTCAGGCCCCGCTCCACCTCCAGCGTCTCGCCGCACCCCGCGCACCGTACCTCCAGAGACTCCGCATCTACCGGATCCGCCGACGCCGCCCACGCGGCGGTCGGCGGTGGCGCCATTGCCCTACCTGGCTCTCTCGACGAGGGTGGAATGGAAGGGTGGTTTTCGTTTCTGCAAAGCTTGGGGAAAAGCGGAGACGGAGAGATGCGTCGCAAGCTGCGACTGTCTAGGTTTTGGAAGCGGAGAAATAAAAGTGAGACGGGGGGCCTATCCTAAACAGCTCCGTCTCAAAATTTGCATTCCTGGTCAGGAGGGAATTTGCATTCCTGGTCAGGAGGGAACACGTCACACGATTATCAATGGCAATGCTTAGTCACCAGTGACGGACGTAGAACATGATTGAAGGGGCTGGTGTCTTCTTCTCCCTCTCTCTCTTTATTTTTTTCTTTTCTCCACCTCTTCTTCTCCCTTATTCTCCCCATATTTCTATTGATGCACCAGTTGTAGGGGGACTGAAGCCCCCCAGCCCCCCTTTAGATCCGCCCCCGCTAGTCATAGTCGTGCCACAATATCTTGTAATAGTCGTCGGTGCCCTAAGCGTCAGTGCGTCACAACTACATAAACAAGTAATAAGAGCTTAGAGCATCTCCGATAGTTCCTAAAAAAAATCAATTGCTAAATCAATAATTTTTTCAAAGCGGACTTGCTAGCGTCCGGACGTCTGATCTGGGCGCCAGTGTCCGGACGGTGCCTACACAGGGAGCGAGCGAGCGCCTAGCGCGTCTGGCTCGCGAGCGAGCGCAACAGCATTGGGCCCACGCCGTCCCGGACACCACCGACGCGCCCCGAACGTCGCCCGTGCCGCCGGCCGCTTACCACGCGCATCCCACGTGCAACACCCGATCTACTTTTAAAATATTCAGATGCAACAATTGCAATATACAAAAAAGACAGATGAAACACTTGAAATAAAATGTCTGAACACTTGCGAAAAACGCCTGAAAAACATTTGAAAACCATTGGAAACATATGCAACATCCAGATGAAACAATTGCAAACATATGTATGAAACACCTTAAAACACTTGAAACAATATGCTTGCAACATGCATGTATATGCAACATCCAGATCTACTTTTGCAACGTCCAAATAAAACACTTGCAACACACGTCTGGTACAGATGAAACATTTAGAATATACACTTGAAACATACGTGTATACCAATTACAACATGTGCAACATCTCGATCTGCTTTTACAACATCGATATACAACACTTGCAACATATGTCTGAAACATCTGAAACACTTGAAATATACTCTTACAACATGCACTAGTCAGGGGGACGCCAACGGCCTAGTGTACACCTAGGCACAGGCCTCCCCTTCCTGCCGACGTGCGAGGTTGATGGAGCGCATGTCGCCCCTGCCTCCTCTTTCGCAATGGGCGAGGTGGATGGAGGCGCGGACCGCGGAGCAGCCAAAGATGCCCGCACGAGCAGCCAGGGATGGGGCGCCGGTGCGGCGCCACCGCGTTGGGGAAGGCCACATCGGGCGGGTGCGCGACCTGCAGCCTGCGGCGAGCGGCCCTGCGCAGCTATGCTGGAGAAGACGAGCTAATTTTTTTGAGATACGGAGGCAGAGTGCGGGTGCGCTCTGAAGCAGCGTGTGGAGTGCGGGTGCAGCGGAGGGACAGATGCCTGCATCCTATCATTACCATTTTCAAATGGCTAAGAAAAAAGGTCATGAGCGTATTTATTGAGTTTGTGTAACAATTTTTAAAATCCCACTTCAAAGCCAATTTTACATTAGGAATCCCAAATTGTTTCCTAATCACCATAACCATCTTTATACTTTCTTTCTTTCACGAACATTTGCATTGAATACCTTGTCCTACTGTTTATTATTTCCCGTGTCCTTCCACCTCTATGTTTTAAATACCATGCAACGAGCTTTATTGGTTCATAAGAATAGTTACATCGTTTACGAGCTCTTCTAAAATAAAACTGGGAGACCCGTCAATCAAAATACAATTATTTTTCAAACTATAAAGCTCACCTAGCTAGTTCATGCGCTACTCAGTTTGCATCTCTTTGACAGTGTTCAATGAAAATATTGACGAAGTCCCTCCACAACTCATAGCATTCATCATAGATCACAGCCGCCGCAATTTCTGAAAAAACTCCACTCTCCGTTGTTTCAACCACCATCGAACAATCTGACCAAATGATCACTCTACTGACACCAATTTGTTGAGCTAACAACAGGTGCATATATTTTCCGCCTCTGGATTGGCCGATAGATACACGCCCGTCCGCGCGATCGAGTCGATTTTCCCATGTGCGAAAAAATTAGGAGTTGAGATAGGGAGTTGTTGGAGAATAGATTTTCCAATTTCAAAAAAAAAAACAAGATTGGGAGGGTTTTGAAAACTATTGGTCTCTTGGCGATGCTCTTAGAAGCAACAAGTATGGCACATCCCGTGAAAAATGGACTTAAGGTTGAAAACTTGAATATGCTTGTTTTGACCTTTTGAATGATGAGCAAATGTGTATGTATGTTGCAACAAAACAAATATGTATAGAAATCAGACTTTATATCATCTCTAGACACGAGTTGTTCTAATTTGTTTGAGAATGGGTCATGAGTCGGATCACATACGAGATATAGAGGTCGTAACCCAATATGTATTGGAATCGTACTTTGTCTTCATCATCACTAGACATGAGTTGAGTACGGGTCATAAGTCTAGATTAGGTAGGATGAAAAAAACTTTCCACCGTCTGGGTAGTTAGAGGAGGTGGACGAAAAAATAGGATAAAATTTTGAATCTTTAATTAATATATCAGGTATAGATATAGATTTGATATAACTTATAAGAGGTGTTTGAAATGCCACGAACAATGCAGGCATATTTGTTGCAAAGGTAGCAACAAACTGTTTCGCCATTGTCTTATATAAGCACAATGCTTCCTAACCTTAGTGCATTGAATCCAAACAATACAAGCAACAAATTTCCAACCTTAATAATTACCCCATAGGAAACTCCATGTGTTTCGTTATTTCGTCCTTGAACTCGAGGATTATCATGTTACTTGATAAGGTTATGATAGTCATTTGAATGGAATTTTACTTAAAACTACCACTTCTTTTCTTGATAAGTTTGAATGATGAGTATCAAGTACTGACCCACAAACCCCAAAAGCGAGTGAAGAAAACAAAGAGCATAAGATGGTGGTCAAATGTCGAAGCGGGGGCCAGCTCAACAGGCCATCACAGGGCGGAAACGCTGTGCATTTTTAGCATTTCTCTGGAGTACAATGGACATGAACAGGCTAACAGTATCTGTTAGAAACTACAAATACACAGTGACGCGACTCAGACGCTCGTAGACACCACTTCAACATCGTCATCCGCGTCGCTTCCCCCGGTGTGCGAATATGACGCATCCTGCAAATCGTAAAAGAACTTAGATCTGCTGGGATATGCGCCCATTAATCGGACCAGACATGCATGCAGGAACACAGGTTGTGCAACTACGGAATCATCCAGTTTTTTAGGTGTTGGCAGAAATGACGATTGCTCCCATGACCAAAATGCTGCAACAATGATTTGCAAACTCTATTTTTTGTAGTTGATCTTATTTATATCAAAAATATCAATTGTGCAATTTGAAGATCACTACTGCAGAAATTTTGGTACCAAAACATCTCTAGCAACTGCTCTTCTTTCAACAACATTTGCAACTTTGATGTGTTATCCCCTGGACACTGTTAGGAGGCAGATGCAGATGAAAGGCACACCATACAATACAGTTCTGATGCTATTCCAGGTAGTTATGCTAGCATTGCATGAGCTAATAGCTAAACACATTTTTAAGTCTATTTCAATACTATGCAGGCATTGTGGAGCATGATCGTCTAGTCGATATCGCCGTAGCGTTAGCACGGGCAACATACCCCATTCTATTTAAAAAAATCCTTATTCTTAGCTAGTTCCTCTGAACTCCCCGGTCAGCAATACTCAAATTACTATTTTTAGATTCTTGCAAGTGTTGATAGAATCTCAATGGATAGAGAATCTCAGTGGATAGATGAGTAACATTTAGAGAGGGACATTTTGGTGTTAACAGCGCCCCTACATAACACAATAGTTTTCCTTTCACGCAGCTTCTTGATTACCTCTTCTTCTTTGTATTTTACTTTATCTCATCTTTAGGTAGAGCATGATGAATGTACTACAGATTTTTTCCAAGAGTCACACTATGCTATCCTGAATCTATGCATATTTATGCTACTTCAAGTTTGCAAAAGAACTGAGATTTGTGATGACAAATACCCTATTATACTTATCTAATTTGTTGCACTCTCGCATGCAGTTAATGTCCTCAATACGCTCTTCACCAGTCTAATTTCTCCTAGGCAGCTCAGAGGTTGGCAGGCGAATGGCGCTGATCCTTGTGGCCAGTCATGGCAGGGCATTACTTGCTCAGGATCAGGGGTTACTAAAATGTGAGCCTTGTGATGCAGTATAGTTGTAGGCATCTAATGTAATACAGAGATCTCTCCTTTAATTCTCTTACTGGTGATGTACCACAAAGTTTTAAGAAACATCGTCTTTTGGTGTTTTGATGTGCATCTCTGAACCAGGCACTATACTAGTTTTTGTAGTTGATCTTATTTATATCAAAAATATCAATTGTGCAATTTGAAGATCACTACTGCAGAAATTTTGGTACCAAAATTTTGTTCTGCAAAACATGTTGTAAAAGATACATGATATAAACATGAGAAGAATAGGCTTCATTTTAGACTAAAAAAATGACACACTTAACTACCAGTCTCATGACTTTCGCTTACCAGATGTCTTAACTGATCCTCCTGGCCTCCCTCTCTAGCCGCAGAAGATCCAGGAGCATGCTACAGATAGAGACATCTCACACGAGCCTCTAAACCAGTTTAAGTTCAGATGAGAAATACAATACTCAGTTATCCTTTGCGTACCTTGGGATCACTACCTAACGGTGGCACACCACGCACACTTTGCTCCAAGGACTTAAACTTCTGCTCCCAGGTTTCATTTAACCCCTGCAAGGCCTGATTAATCATCTGCTGCGCCTGC